ATCTTATAACTGTTGGAATTGAAAAATTCATATTAGGAAAAGTGTTCGGTGAGTCACTTTTTGTTTTATATATAATTTTTGAACTTGGAACACGGTGTTTTTTCAGTTTGAAATCAAAATGACAAAATTAAGGTTTTAGAGATATAATGTACTTGTCACACTGAATTTAACCGTTATTTTATTATTGAATAATTACAATATAGTATTAAAGCATCGTTAAAATTTGAGTTGATTGGAGTGTATAATAATACTCGTAATGGACACGTCAGCATTTGATTGTTTGACCTATTAGATTATGTGGAAGCCAAATTGCCAATTGTTTAATTATTAACCCTAATTAATGAGAGTGTGCATAAATTATAACGTTGTAATTAACATAGTTTTTTAATTCCCAAGGTGCCTATTAATTGATTTCTTATCTGCCAAGTTCGATTATATTAGGCTTATTTTCATATATATATATTTATTAATATTTATTACTGTAATGTTGATGTAGAAAGATTTATAATAATGTTGGGAGATGATTTTTTAAATATTAAAGTCAAAAAGTCAAAATTCATTTGGTAATGTATACTATTATCTTTTTTGAAATTGAAAGGCACAATTTCTCTTGTCGATAATGAATAGGATGCGATATTGTGGTATTTATTATCTTGTGTTGTTTACAAGATTTTCTAATACAATAGTTGAAGTATGTTATTGATAATTTATTTCAATTTTGTCTTTTTTTTGTGACGCTAGAATGTTTAATTCAATTATGATTGGGTTTGGTATTTCTTCAAGAAAATTTAGATTATTTTGGCTTCACAAAAATTAAAATTGTTAGCATATTAATAATGGAAACATCTTATTTGTTACTATACTTTTCATTTTAAATCTACTACTATTTATGAGATTACTTGTTCCATATTGTCAAGACGAAACATTAGTTCGCTACTACTCCTGTAATTTTAAGCGACCTTTTTCCTATTGGGTGGCTGTTTTTCTATGAGAAGCGTAAGTAAATGGAATTAAAACAATTATGCTTTCAGACTATATTCATTTTAATAGGGATCGGCGGAGTATATATACTTTTCTAAATGATTAATCTAGCTTTTAATATATTTGTTGTCCGTCATAAAGTCGTTTTGAAGTATTTTCTAAGGAATAATAAATAGTCATTTGTTTAATTTTTACTCTTGCTTATAGTAAGTTTACAATATAATGATGTAAAATAAATAATAATTGTGATACCAATTGGATCTCTGAGTTTTGTTATAGGAATGAGGAAATTAAATTTAATCTTGCTTATTAAATTTTAAAAACGTATACTTATTGTTTGCTTTGATTAATGGGAGATCAATTGCGTATTTGATGAATGAGGTTATAATATTTGCATTATCTTAAGAGTGTACTACTTTGATCTTCTAAGCACCGAATCGAACTAACTCCACTTAATCAACTCAAGCCCGATAATTTAGTCCGTTGTACTTTGCTTGTTATCACACTTACGAATCTTGCTCCAATAGCCGTACAATGATAACCGTGTTAGTGACGCTTAGGTGTCTCCGAGAGATAATTTTTCGTCTTTGCGGCATTGTTTCTTTTTATATACTCTTCCAACAGTAAATTGTAAAGATTATTTTTTTGTCCTTTCCCCAATAAAAGTGCGCTTTCTAAAAATTAAACTACATTTCACATTTAAGAGAATTGAGGTCGCTTACTTTCTAACCAACACGCTTCCGTAAATTTTGATGACACGTGTGCATTTATTTTTATAATAAGAATAAAGCTAATAATCACTGTCGTTTTGAATAATTTAACGAGCTTACTCCAGCGATGCAGCTAAACATTTAGTCGGTTTTCCCTACGTACTTTAATGATTATGAGCTTGCTCCATAGTAACAACGAAACATTAGTGCGTTACTCGTCATTCTTTAAGTTATCCTTTTTTCCTTCGTGACTTATGAGCTTGCTCCATGTTGTGGCAAATGAACATTAGTCATTACTCGTCCATTTCCTTTGGTGATCTTTTTTCCTAAAGAATGGAGAACAATTAATTGCTTTTGATCGAAAGGAGAATATATATCAGTTTGTTTTCAATCGAACTTGTCAACGTAAAAATCTTTAACCCATTACGGTTCGAAGGGGAAAATTATGCAACCCTCCTAATTATACTAAAAAAAAAAGTATTAAAAGGATTTGGAGACATAATTTTTTCAAATAGATTTAGAAGGTCTTATTGAAAAAAATCCAATTTAAATTATTCATTTAATTACTTTTAGGAATTTTTATGATTAAAACATATAATCAAGGTTCCTCTAAAATTAAATTATAATCATATTGTGAATTACCAAGATTTTATACATAATAATTTCTTAACAATCTTTTTTTTTTTTTTTTTTTTTTTTGTTGAAAATGATATACTTACTTTAATTGTTAGTATTTGATTTATTCGACAATATGTAAGGCTTTCTTAATTTATATCACTAATAAAAAAATATTAATTTTAAAATTATGAAATCATAAAAAATAATTTCATGACACTTCATCGGCCTGAAAAAAAAAGTCTATCTTTTCATTTTGATCTGTCCCAAAATATAATACATTTGCTCTTTTTACATTATATTCCTCCATTCCTTAATAAGTGTCCATTTTGCCAAAAAAAAAAAATAATAATAATAATATAAGTGTCCATTTATGAAATGAAAGTAACATTATACTTTTACTTCCAAATATATCTTTCTAATTCAATTGAATAATCAATTAAGTTTATCATTACTAGAAAGGCATTTTAGTAAAGTGTTAGCCATACTTCTAATCATTTTTTTTATTCTTGTACTTTTTTTTTTTTTACAAAATAGGCACTTATTAAGAAACAATAGGAGTAATTAATTTTTAAATTACATATTACGCCCTTATTAAATTTCATGTTATTTTCAATAATTTTATTTAATTCGTTACTTTTTCCAGGTCAGCTTTACTTTTCATAGTTAATTTTAGCAGATGAAATTTTTAAATTTCTCAAAAAGAGTACATATTAAATTGCATTAATTGCAATTTATATTTTTCATCCAATATAGTTTTATTATTTCTATATAATAATTGTTCATGTGTTATTTAAAATGAATATAATAAAAAATTTATGAGAATAAAATTATCTTTTAATCATAATAATTTCTACTCCTTAATCTGCGTGAAAAAAGAAAATAGACTATCTTTTTAAAATAGAAATATATTATCTATTTTCAGATGATTCTAAAAAATCTGAAATCCTAATATTTTCATGACAGATACGAAATTAATGAACCATTAAGACCAAATCCGAAAGTTTTTTTCTGTAACGTATCCTCTTAATGTAAAGTAAGCAACTTTAATTTATTATAGAAATCCCCACCTTTTTTTTTTTTTTTTTTTTTCCAAATTCCGAAAGTTTTTTCATGTAACGTAATTCCATCCTTCAATATAAAAGTAAGCAACTTTTTAATTTATTATAGAAATCCCGCACCTTTTTTTTTTTTTTTTTTTTTTTGCTTCATTTCTTTTTTGGGAATTGGCTTCCAATTTCCCCCCTTTTTTTTTTTTTTTTTTTGCTTCATTTCTTTTTTGGGAATGGCTTCAATTTATTATCAAATATTTATACTTTTTCATTCATACTTTATTGAAAGTTACAATTTTATCCTCGCCACTTTTGCTACATGGGCATTTCAATTTCAAAACTTAACAGTAATTGCAACCTAAACCCTTCTTTGAAACAAATAAATTCCATAAAATTTAAGGTTTGGTTTGGTTTTATGTTAAAATATATATTAACTAGGCGTGCTATAGTTAGTTGTCTCACCAAAGGAGTGATAGGTCTCATATTCAAATCATATCAACCGTAATAGTTTCCATCAAATTGGTAAATTAAGGGCAAACTTATGAACTTATGAACCACCTGTGTATATAGGATCCACAATCTAAAATTTCACTTTTACCCTCCACTTTCTGCCACCTTCTTCACCATATCTCTCTCTGCTCAATCTGATTTATCTCTCTCTGTTCCTTTTCTTGTTCTCTTCACTGAGTCTAATCTGAAATTTCTTTGTATTTTACAGAAGAGGCACTGGAGCAAGAACTGGGAAAGGCATGGAAGTGAAAAGATAAGGAGAGTAAACCCCTCGGCAATAATGTTTGAGAAAATGGTTATGCATGTTCTTCCTTTGGCCATTATGATGCTCTCAAAATTCTTAATTAGATTACATCTTCCATGGCTTCATTTTCACTAGGTAATTATATATATTCGATCCCTTTCAATTTTCTAATCCATGGCTTCTTTTTTTAGCTTGACATAACTGCACCAAAAGTACATATATTAGCAGCACAGAGAGGATCATCTCCAACAAGGTTGTCAAGAGCTTAGCATTTAAAATTTTATAATATAAAAAATAATTCTCTTCAAGACTGAAGTCCTTAATTTTTCTTAATTTTTTTATATTTTTCTTATTCATTTAGATTGCTTCATTGGTTCTGAAATTATTTTGTGACATGTTTAGAATTATTTTCATTTATTTTTGTTTTGGTTTGATCGGCTAAGAGGGAGGGAGACGGAGAAAAGAGAGAAAAAGGCACATGACAACGAGGACAGAAACGAAAATTTGAGTTGTGGGACCCACTTTTTAATATTAAAATATTTCTTCACCTTAGGAGTGAAATTGCAACTTTTGACAAACTTAGGAGTGAAAAGTACGGTTAAGCCAAAAAAAAAAAAACAAAAAAAGGAGATTTAACTATATTTGCTTTGAAAAATTGAAAAATCTTCTTTCCCATCTTCTGTTTTGTGCAAAGAAGGTCGGTGCCTCTTTTCTGGAAACGAACTTCCGACCAAAGAAAAGATAGGCCATAAAAAAAGTAATGGGCCTTTCATCCTCATTCCAGTGCCTCCGATGGAGCTTAATATGATGAATGCTTCACAGGGAACTAACCTGGTATTTATGTATCTAATGATGGAGTTCACCTGATGTTAGAAGTAGATTGAATCATAAACACGAGACCAAAAAATAGATGATATTCAGAAAAACACAAAGGATTCACATATTGTAATGAAAATTCTACATTGCCCTCGTTCCAGAGAAAGAAGACAAGAGGACTACTTTGTAAAAGGCTTATCTGGTATGGTGTATAATAACATTATAACACACAGAACAGTGGCTTATTGATGTGCATAAATGATTCAAATAGTAGACAGTGCTTCTTTAATCGATAGGGATGAATTTCTTTAAGAATCATATGGTGATATTTATGCAATATGATGGTTAGAGATCAGCGTTTATCATTTGAGTTCTTGTACAATTTTCTTTCTTTAATGTACTCTATCACTCCATCAACAGTAAGGTATTTTATCGACAGCCCTTTGGAAATGCATTCCCTGAAAAAAAAAAAAAAAAAAAAAAAAAAAAAAAAAAAAGAATGCATTCCGCTGAAAAAAAAAAAAAAAAAAAAAGAAAAAAAAAAAAAAAGGCTTTAGGTAAAATTGGTCATTCTATTGTATTGCTAGTTTGTCAATAATGTAATAATACTATATTCAATAAATACTTTATTCCTTGTTTGAACTTAATTGCGTTTTGGTAACAAGTTTCATCGACTACTTTAATCTTAAACCTGCAAGATTGAATTGATGAAAGAGATTATCGTTGAAGAAGTTCCAATTTATGCCACTGGATGACAAACTCAAAATTTATTTGTTTGAAGAAGTATCCGTTTGACAAAACTCAATGAAAAGGGAGATTTTCTCTTTATTTCTGAGTGAAGAAGTCCATAATTCAAAATTTTTTGAAGTTCCAGAGCGAATGTGTTAACTGTGTGAAAACCAAGTTAGTTCCAGATTTGCAGGTAAATTTCTGAGAGAGTTCCCTTCCAAACTTGACTAAGAAACAACTAATATCTTTTAGACAAAATAAAGAATTAACAATAGAAGAAAAAAGAATAATTGAGGAGTGAAGATTGGGGTTTAAACAGTTGTTGGACTATGGACAGGATAAATAAGACAAAGAACCAAAATATAAAATTTGATAATTAAAAAAAAAAAAAAAAAAAAAAAAAAAAAAAAAAAGGCTTTAGTGTAAATTGGTCATTCTATTGTATCTGCTAGTTTGTCAATAATGTATATACTATATTCAATATACCTTATTCTTGTTGAACTTATTGCGTTTGGTACAAGTTCATCGACTACTTTAATCTTAACCTGCAAGAACATTGAATTGATGAAAGAGAATTATTCGTTGAAGAAGTTCCAATTTATGCCACTTGACAAACTCAAATTATTTGTTGAAGAAGTTCCGTTTGACAAACTCAAATGAAAAGGAGATTTCTCTTTATTCTGAGTGAAGAGTCAATAATTCAAAATTTTGAAGTTCCAGAGCAATTTTAACTGTTGAAAACCAAGTATTCAGATTTGCGTAAATTTCTAAGTTCCCTTCCAAACTTGACTAAGAAACAACTAATATCTTTAGACAAAATAAAGAATAACAATCAAGAAGAAAAAAAATAATTGGAGGGAGTGAAGATTGGTTTAAACAGTTGTTGGACTATGGACAGGATAAATAGACAAAGAACCAAATATAAAATTTGACTAATTCTCAAATCATAAATCACGATAAATGCTTCCATATTCAAACATAGTACTCACTCTATTTTCATCCAAAATTTCATCACTAGATATGATTTTCTCAATGTCTTGCCCTTCTCTGCGAATGCAAACCACACCATACTCTTTGCATATTGTACTTACCTATGAACAATGAAGAGATTAATTTAACAGTCAACTAGCAAATGTCAAATGTGAAAATCAGTAGGTTCATGCCAAATGCGAAAATCAGTAGGTTCCAACCAAACAATATGCTTTGGCGGAACATTAAAGTAAACCTGTTATTGGACATTATATTATACACCAGCATTTCATGTGAAGGTACTTTTACACCTTTATAAACTAGTGAAAGATCTCAAATATTCATAAACTGATGGCTACAGTATTTTTGACAACAAATAAAATATATCAGAAACAAGATTTCCAACCGAACTCCAATTTTTAATTGTACAAGCGCTTATCACTATCTAGATATGCATGGCATCAGCCACCAACAACATACCTGCTCACGAATCCAAAATCCAGGAATGCTAAAAGATTGGACTAAATCAGAACCACAGACAAGCATGACCTTGAGGGTTTCTACAAGAGAGTGAAAGAGTGAAACCATTAGTATTGCCCTCAATATTACAATCAAATATACATAAACAAGTTCCAAATAGAACAATGTTTTATGGCACAATACATTCTTCAAATATTTCTTATAACATTATTGCCTGTAATAAAGTTAATCTTACCCCTGGATATACGATTGATAAAATAACTCTCGATTCTTTTCAAGACAGTCAAAGTGCGTTGGTAGGTACTTTGGTTTGCCTGTAAGAAAACATTCAAAATAAGAAATCAATTTGAGCGGCCGAAACATTTTAAGCAGGGAGAAAAACACAATTGGCACCAAGCAGGAAAACATTGGATCACAGTAACAAGGCATCGTAAAGTATCAGCTTAGAATATGAAGGAAATTAGCACAATGAAGTCCAGATATAGGAGCCAAATACCTCCCATGGATCGACCATTATGAAATCTGAAGTTTCACATGCTAAATTACACATCTGCAAACGATGTTCACAGGATATGAGGCCCTAAATAACAAAGCAGTGAAGTCAGTACTTTCCTTAATCAATTCTACATACTGAGATTGGAAAAAAAGATCAAAGGGCAATTGGACCTTATTAATACCTACTTTACTATCTCAGCAAACTGATGATAATTAAAGCATTGAATGGTAAGATTAGAACAAAAATCCACCTAGTATGCTAACTATCTGTGATGAACATAATAAAAGGATGTATATACCGGCTTCTTGTATGCATCGCTAACAGGTGACATATAGGCCGCAATAACATGGTAGCCCTCTGAATGCAATGCATCTCTTGCCAGCTCTAACCATACAAGTGGAATAAATTAAGTCCAATAAATATGAATATCAATCAGTATCATAAACCAGGTTATTCATCCCATCAGGGGCAAATGCATGTGCGCACAGGCATGCATTAGTGATTTTTTTTTTTTTTTTCCAATTGAGAGACCAGTTTCAGATATCACATTCAAAAGTAACATTAAGAAATTCTAAATCAAAGTGAACGCCGAAAATCAAAATGTTCAGAGAATTGTAAAAAAAGAACTAAATAACTTACCAAACATACGCAAGTGCATAAAAGTTGGAGGATTGAAACTGCCAGTGGCTACAAGAACAATATTCATCTTGTTATCGTCCCTGATTTAGATTGAATATATAAATATTTATCAATTATATTCAATGTCATTAACAGTTCAAAAGAAGATAAAACTTTGAAAATAATCAAAATTTCCAGAGAAAGAAGGGTAAGGTTAAATTACCAAGTGGAATGTGGTGCGAAAGATACTTTGTCCATTGGCAATTCAAGATCCATGGCACCTAATAAAACATAAAAGTAATTATCAGTAAAGCACTTCACAATTCAAATAGAGAGAGAGACCCAATAGATCAATGTAACTGGTCATAAAGCCACTGCATGAAAAAAGAGAAACTCATAAACCTAGAGTCTAGAATGAATCAACACCTAAAAAAATAAAAGAACAAACCTTTCGAATCAACCCCTCCAAAGCGTACAATACAATTTAGGCAAGCCTTAAATTACAACTCGAATATTCAATTGAGGAGAAGCTGCAAGTCTAAACTCTAAAGTTTAAGCCAAAAAAACTACTGCGGTACAGAACACAAAACTATTTTTGTAGGTTTAATTGATAGAGAGAAATGTTCATATATATTACATAATATTAGTACCCGCGACAGAGAAACGAAATTTTTTCTTGGAAGGAGAAGGGGAAGTCTTCCTTGCCCATTTTTACCGTTAACTTTTGATGAAAAAAGACAAAAATATATTTTCAAAACTCAACCCGTCAACCCCACAGAAATCATACCAAGAATTCAATTCTTTACAGAGCAGCAATTGAAATTGCCGAGAGAAGAAAGTGTGAGATTAAGGTTTAGAGAACCAACTTCATCAATTGCAGCAGATAAATCGAGTCGAGCGGCTCCAACTCACCCTGGGTTTTCCTTTCGATTATTGGCGCTTTATTTTTTTTTTTATTCTTTATTCACCGCAATCACAAAAGTAGGTCCCACGTCCCACCACCGCCTGCCATCCTCGTAGTCCCAGTCGATACAATAGAAGAAGACAACCCATTGGCCCAACTAACCGAAATGCATAGAAAAAGTGATTCTTAGATCTTATCGATTTGGTATTCTACGGGATTCGATCAGGTTTTTTCAGACTGGTTTCATGTTTTCCTTTTTATCTTATATTTTTTTCAACTGAACGATAAAATATGAACTTCATTTCATTGATGCCATGATCCGTAGATTATGACTGAATTAAAATTTCAATATTTAGTAAATAGTAATTTTAAAGCATTAAAAAAAAAAAAATTCAGATACTTGCAAATCCAACATTGTAACACTTGAACTTAGGTTTGGTTCAATTAAAATTAGATCAAACTGGAGTTTAGTGTACATGTTGTCTCTTTAATAAAGCCGACAATAATGCTCAAATGTAAAAGTTGGGAATTCCTTAGATAGACTGGGACGAGCCAATTTAAAGGATTTCATAATGTTTTTTCAAGTCTTATAATATCAAGACATTATTAGTAGCCACCATTACATGAGATAATCAGACAGGTACCCAAGGAAATCTTTCAGAAAAGAAAGGAGGAGAGGTGGTAAACGAACAATCACCCACAAAATTATGAAGTATGAAAATCATCAAATGCATTCCTGACTGTCCAAAAATATATATTAATTTGTCAGGAATGGAGAAAAAAAAAAAAGAACAAAAGAAAAAGAGAGGGTGGGATGGAGGGAAATAGTAACACTCCACAAAACCAATAGCCAGTGTACTCAGAAAATAAATTCTAGTATATAGAATCTCCAGCCCATCAATAAACCTGCTAGTACTCCTCTCACCCTCCAAAAATATGAACAACTAATTAAAATGTGTATTATTTCAGACAGGCTTATCTCATCAAAAAGAATAATAAAAAAAACGCATTGCTCCTCTTGTTATCATCAACGCAAGTAACAACGTTAAAAGAAACACTTCCAATTTGACCTCTTTCGCCCATTGTGACCAGCAAACATTCTCAAACGAGTATTTAAAACCCATCAAGTTTAGTATGCTTGATTTAGAATCCTGAAGGTCCAGAAAAGATGCAACGATAATGACCTGACTTACTTCTAGCATGTTAACAGTTGAACACCCTGAAAGAAGTAATTCAATAAGATAAAACCAAATGATCCTACTTATCAAGGTGCAACTCCATCCATCAATCCAATAAATTATTGACTACAAATGTATGGGAACTCCATTGTCTGTAAAAGTATAACTAGACTCGTAACTTCCAGAACTCCTTAATCATAAGAATTCCACATAAAAGAATTCAAATCATTTGCCTTTCTCTCGCTAAAGGCCAGATTTTTCACTGTACACTGTAGTTTAAGCAATCCCATCACGAATGTAAAACTAAAGATTTATACTCTTCCAAAAGACAAAGTTACAGATAGAGTCACACTGAAAGTCAAAACTGCACCTTGTGTACAGACAACACATGCTCAAGTCCATGACTCGTACATAAGTTTTAAAGATGACACTAACACCAATTAAAATCTAACACTTCATATTTGCTAAATCCCATTTTGGTTATTTATAATCAAGCAGCACCAATTTGTTGAGGACAAACTTCTGAAGCAATTATGAAGGTTAAGGAATTGGGCTGTGCAAAAAGTTACTTGTGCATTTTTTTTTTCTCCGCAACATTTCCAGATCAAGATTGCATCTTAACTTCAACGAGTAACAAAACTTATCAGCTGGAAACTTAAATTTATGCAGAACTATAAATAAATGTTTCAACACCATAGTTATGGGCATGCAATAAGAATAAATAGAAACGGGAATTCCAGGTTCAACTACAAAGGCATGTATTATCTATTATCTATGATATTTATCCTACCATATATATCGTCACAAATTCAAGATATTTCATATATGCAGGGACATGAGAGAGCATATGAAGCATAAATGAAGAAGCTCACTTACTTCAAACTTTCAAGCTCCCATCCAAGAACGATCTAAAGCAATCAAAATACTATTTCCCAACATCATTATCTCATCTTTCATTCAAAGCCCAATTACAACTAAAAAAACTCTAACTTGTTGGTCTAAATCCAAAAATTCCCACTTCATAGTTTAAATTTCAAGACCCCATAATAAGACAGCAATGCAACAAAAATTTCATAGATATCTTAATCCTAATCCATCCCGCAATAGAAAAAGAAAGAAAAGAAACGAAAATATACTTTTGAGAGCTAAACCACCACTGCTATCGTAGGGCTCATAGTCAGGCAGCTTGGTACCGGAAAGAGTAATTTAACTCAAAGAGCGAAGCACACCAAAAACCCTGAATGTCAAAGCCAATTGTTCCTGGATGATTGGCGCTTCATCAAGAAAAAGAAATTAAGGGAAAAAAAAAAAAAAAAGGGAAATTTCAATCTAGATCCGTTATTTCGTTGTATTGCAAATTTGCAATAAGCTTATCTGCCTGGGCATAAAGTGGGTTCCAGGAAGTCCAATAACTGTGAAAGGATCCATTGGGCCTTTCAAAATGGTAATTCATTACATTCCAAAAGTAACCAATAGGCCTTGAGCCCATTTTATTAAGTAATTAATTAGCATTTAGCAGTTCTGTTCAATGACAATGGTTGGCTTAATTAGAATTTGCATACAAGCATATTATAAGCAAGTGATAAAGGAAAATAATACTATTTTTATTTTAATATTTTTAAAGAGCATAAGACAAAGAAAGTTTTTTTTACTACCAATTTGGAAATAACTGTAAAAATATTAAATTGCAGTGATTAATTTGGTAATATATAACATTAGTTGTTTCAAAATACAATTACGATTGCTTGTTTTTTTATGTAATTCATTAATAATAATATATCAAGATTTACAAATAAGCATATAGACATGACATAGAACTTTACTAGTTAATAGAGTTCGCTGATCTTCTAACGTAAGAAATAAATCCATATCCCTTTGAATAATGAAATTAAAACAAAAAAAATATAATATTAGATCTTTCCGCTTGAAGTTAATCTTGACAAAAAATATGAATTTTCGTAGCAACAACTAGTCCGTTAATTGAATTGGACGTCAAAATAATAATTGTTATGGATCTTATATAATTTGATTGTTTTTCCAATAATTTGCAATATTTGACGAATACATATAAGTTTCTACTGCTATACATCAATAGCATCAATAGAAGAACAAGCCGTATTACTAAACTCCATCAATCGAAGAGCCACACTTACGATTCAAGATTTAAAGACTCTAACTAAATAAAATCAAATATCATAATTTTATTTAACAATAAACCCTCACAAGAGTGACAAAAAAAAATTCCAAATATGAATAATTAAGCAGTAACAAAATAAAAAAATAAAAAAACAAATTTGAGTTTATTAAAACAAAAAAAAATTAAAAGCAAAAAAGTGAAGAAAAGAGATAGTAGAAAGTATGAGGTAAGAAGTTACCGCTAATAAACAACGGCAGCGTCAAATGAAAACTAAAGTTAGAAAACCAGAGAGAACAGAGAGAAATGTTTTAAATAGTTAGCCTTAAGTGGATTAGATCGGGGGAAGGTTGCTGTTACAAGATGTGTGCATATTCAATCTCAATTTTAGGACGAATTTGTATCATTTTTTATTATTGGGATCAAAATTCTAAGCAATTTGGCTCCAGATTCTTTAAAAGTTTAGACTTTAACTTACAATTTATCCTTATTGATATAACAGTGCAAATTTTAGGGACTTTTTAATAATTTTTTAAAACAATATGGATGAATTAATACTTTTGAGTAAACCTCCGGGACTTCGTAGTAAGTTGCCAGTAAACTTTTCAACAAGGCAGTGGAAAAGGAACAACATTTTTCCAAATTTGAAATTTAATCCGCGCTCATGCTAAGCGAATCTCCGCCGTCCATCTTCTACCCCCAATCGGCAGGCTCACTCTCCGTCTCTCCACCCGCAGACAGTCTGTCCATTCTCTCTTTGTCCGGAAAATTCTAATACTCTCAACGGATTAAACGATCAATGGCGACGATTCTCTAAAACCAAACAAAGGAGAAAATGACGACGATAGAGAAGCTGTTCGTGCAGATCTTCGAGAGGAAGAAGAGGATAATCGAGCAAGTGAAACACCAGACCGATCTATTCGACCAACACCTCGCCTCTAAATGCCTTCTTGACGGAATTGCGCCTCCAACCTGGCTATGGTCTCCTTCTATTCCTACCTTTGTCTCAGATCCAAATGGTAATCTCCTCTCTGTCTCGCTCTCTCTCGTTGCCTTTGCTCAAACGAATTTGAGCTATTTTTGCCCAAACGAATTTGAGCTATTTTTGCCATTTTGGCTTCCGGAAATGGAATGCTTAACTAAATGCTGTTTAGTGTGGTTACAGTATAATTTCATTTTTAATTTCATTGCAATTGTATCTCTCCTCTTAAGCAAACATGGGTTACTGAAAGCAGAACAAAGCATCTTCTAGTTTTATCAATTAATGGTGTTTGCTGAGTAGGTCTTGAAGGTTCCACTCAATTTCGTTTTGGAAATATTTCAGGCATTCCTTCTCAGTCTATGAATTATAATTTCCTCCATTTCCTATATATATATGTGCACGTGTTTCGAGATTTCAGAGCAAACTTTCACAGAGTTTTTGGCTTTATAATTCAACATTATAGTTCCATTAACATTTGGAGTTGCTCATATGCGACATTTGGAGTTGCTCATATGCGTTGTTTGAAGTTTTAAATATTTATGGCTTTTACTTGTATTATTGCCCTTTTTGGTATAGACGTAGGGAATGCTCTGGTCAGCATTTGTTTAAGCAAATAAAAGCTAATTTTGGCTGTTAACTATTAAGGACAATGAAATACTGAACTAATGAACAACTGTGTAGATTATGCATTTTGCATAAGGTGTTTGCTGATCTATTGTTTTTCAAGTTATGTTTCAGCAAAGAATTTAGATAAAGAGGTAATTAAATTCCTGTACCAAATTGTTGTGTAGTCACAGAGTTGAAGAAAGAGGAGCTTATATCAGAACTCTTGCTTCCGCGTCCTCAACCTGTAAACCCTTGCTCCAGCAGTCATTACTCTTTATATCAAAAGCACATTGTTACTGCTGATAACAAGGGGTTGACAAATGCTTCATGCACAGAAGTTCTTGCTTCAACCGATGGACTTGATGCAGGTGATAGGTTGTCGATTTTGCCTTCATATCTTGTTGATGATACTCAAGATGGACTCAATGGTGTTCCGGAGCTGGATTTCAGTGTTACATCTCCTCAAGATTGCTTAGATACAAAAATATCAGAAAATGGTCCTGATCACGCTCAATCATTGGTGAAGATTCAAAGATCAAAGTCAAGGCAAAAGGCTCTAGAGATACGCAATAGTGCAAAAGCAAATAAGTCACATTCATTTGATGAAAATAATGCTGGTGTTTACACCAGTCAAGTTTCAGGATCTGGGATTCATTCACTACAATATGAGAATGTTGATGGACAAGAGTTTGTTAAATCTGTTGAGGCACATACTGAAGGTTGTGAAGAAGCAGCAACTAAAGTAGGTGAATTTCAGGGGAAGGAAAATAATAGAGATATTTATTGTGGTATAACTACGAGATCGGGAAGTTCTAGCCAACTGAACAGATCTGCGAATGGTCCTGGGAATGATGGCGACTCTTCTTACATTGCCAAGGAAGGTGGCCCTATGAAGTCTATCAATGACTTAATACAATTGCCTAACTGTTTCAATGAGTTATCAGAACTAGCAAACCCTTCTGCTCTTGCTAAAACAAGTGTTACGGCAGAAGAAGCAAATGTGGTTAGTTGCAAGGGAAATGAAGTAAATAGCAATGTTTTCTCTGATAAAATTACAAGGTCTAAGTGTTCTATCTCTCAAGCCAGCACTTTGAAGGAGCCTCTGGAACTAGGTAACTCTTCTAGTGTTGCCAAGGAAGATGATGGGCATAGAGAGCCTTTTGATAAATCAAGAAACCAGTGTAACTCTGTTAGTGAGTTACTGCAATTGGTCAAGGCTTCATCTGTCATCTCTAATGGAAGTTGTGGATCAAGGAAAGCAAAAACCAGGGATAACTGTGTCAAGGAAAAGGGAAGCAGCACTTATGGTGGGAGAATAACAAGGTTTAGAAGTGCTAACCCACAACCTAATTGTGAGAATGAGTGTTTGAAGCTGGAGCGCTCTTGTGGTGACGGGAAGGAAGATGGTGTTAACAAAGCAAAACAACTGTCCAGTCATGCTGACAACTTAAGGGAATCAATTAAGCCTTTAGATTTCACTAATGAAAGTTGTGAGGAGAAAGCAAAAGTGAGGGACTGCCAAGACCTTGACGTGAGGAATGATGCTTATTGCCATGGAATAACATGCTCTTTTACTGAAAAATTTGTTCATGTTAATGAGTTCCCGAAAGTGGATATGGCTTCTAGTAATATGAAGGATAATGATTGTACGCATGCTCAGTCTTTGGGCAAATCATCACAACTACCTGAACAATCAAGTTTTGTTGAAGGCGTTAACCTTCAGGTTCAATCAGGTACTCAACCAAATGTCATGTCCTGTATTGAAAGCAATATAGCTGAAACTGACATAGGAGGTTATGATGGGCTAGTTGAGGCTTGTTCTGTTACTTCTGGATCCAGCTTGGATGGTTCTAAGTCCAGAGCAGAAGTTTTGGAGTCAATGCCACCTGGTGAATGTTTTATGCTTGTGCAGCCCAAGCAACTTGATTTTGATGATGTGGAAGGGAGCAGTTTGCTTGAAACTTCTGATCCTACCTTAGAAAATAAGCAAGAAATTACATCAGAGAAACAGCTTTCTACCTTGTTACATTCAACAGATCTATTGGATAAAGTAACATCTAATGCTCTGCATGAAAAACCTAATCCATCTACAGATATGCTGTTGCTGGAGAAGCAGAAGTTTTCAAGCAAAGAGAAGAAACCTGGGAAGGATTCATCTGAAGCTTGCATAATTGATGATGTGGGTGTTGTTGATGAAATTATCACTAAATCTGTACAGCAGAAAATGGATTCGTTCATTTCTAGAAATCAAAATGCGGATTCCTACTTCATGGGTTCATGGCCTCAGCATAAGCGAATAAAAATAGGGGGTCAATTTACTAATACCCTTTCTGCTTCTCGAAGTTTGAACATAGAACCATATCAGCCTATTCAAATGTATCATGTAAGTACATCTATGAATTATGCAGTAGATAACCTGAATGTAATCTGAAAAGCTGAAAACTTTTTGTGCATCTCAGATGGAACATGCAGCGCAATTAGATGTTCAAAACAGCCTAGTTAGAGACATGCATCAAAATATGGAGGACCAACAGATAGAGGAATCTGAAGTTTTACCATCGAACCTGCAAGTTGAAGAGGTATTTCCTTTTCAAGTGTAGATTCCGAGACTTGCTAATTTGTTGGTGTCAGCTCTGCAATGATGTAATTAGATACTGACCCCATATTTTCTGTTCTATTGGCAATCTGGATTTTAAAGAAGAATGGAAGATTAGACAACTTTACATCCATTCAGGGAACAAGCTACAGCATGTGCTTATCATGCCATATGTCTAGATAGATGTAACTGCTGACAAAAATTTGACCTTGGAACATGATCAATTCAAAAGAACAAGCATCATAATTATAAAAGCCTAAGGCGAGAAAAACAGCAAGAAAATTTAACAGCATGCTCCCACCCTTTTCCTCTATCTCTCTCTAAAATTCAGTGGCATAATTCATTGTTGTGATCAACCCTTTAATTTAGTAAGCGTATTCCTTAAATTTGATTGTTTGACCAATAAAATGTGATATCTTTTGTGGAAATACATCAGTCTTGCATCAGTTTTACCTTGTTTGACCCTTGCTCATGATAGTTCAATAGCATTTAAGCTTTGAGGGTTTGGTCCTACTGGTCCCATGATAATAGAAAAAATGTTTAACCATATGTAATTTTCAACATCTTTTTGATGGGAGAATATGCACTGTGCTTCATGCTTCTAAATAACAGATATTTGTGGTACAAATACACACTGATTAAAAAAATTTTTGGGGTGTATTACTGAGTCTGCTGTCTGCTGGTATTAGATAGCTTCTGATGCAGAATGTAATGTCGACTGACAGGATGCAACTACCTTGGAAGGGAAGGATAGAAGTGCAAGTACTGCTTTTACTTTGATGGTTGAACAACAAGGAGAACCTGTGGTCTCAAGTTTGAAAAAGCTGGCTGATGGTGTTTCTCAAGGCTGTTTTATGGAGAAAGCTGAAGAGGCAGCCTGTGATGTGACAGGGCAGCCAACTGCAGTAGAGAACCAGGTTTTATTTCAACTTGCAGATAAATTAGAACTGGGAGTTGAAGACGTCCTGACATGTACTGGAGACACCACGCAGGACAAGAAATATCATTTGGGAGAAAAGGACAGCTTGTCCTACTCTTACTCTGGTTCTCCTCATACCCGCTCCAAGATTGGTAATGATCAAAATATGCCTGAGTTTGAGAGTTTTTTCATGGAAAGCAATGACAAACGGCCATGCACTGCCAACGAGGGAATCAACTTTGACAAGTTGGATCTTCCACCTACTTCACTAGGACGTTCAAGTGTTTTAGAGAAGCTTTGCAAATCCAGTAGCCTGCACACACCACTTTCCCATTTTTCAGCTACTTATAAACTGCACAAAGCATTAAATTTATTTCAGTCCATTCCAAATGGGCTTTTAGAGGGCATGGAACTGCAGAGCACCCTTAATACGAATGGTGATTGGAGTGAGCAACTTGGTGATAGTTACAGTTACTTGAATGAGGATGTCAACTATGCTCTTCATGGAAGGTCCCATTCTGTCTCTCTGCCATTTTCTAATGCCCAAGCTGCATGCGATAGTAGGAAACGTTGTATGTCTCCAGTGGGGAAGCTTTGGGATGGAATCCCACTAAAGTCTGGCAGTTCTGGGAAGAGAGTGAGCTCAATTCCAGAGCTTCCTAGCATTAATGAAGAAAATGAGAATATAGATGGAGCGCCTACTGCATCTCTGAAAGATATTGGTCCAGAAGAGATGATTAGCTCAGTCAAAAGAGAGCCACTTGCTGACATCACAAAGAATTCAAATACTCTAATATCAGTTTGTGAAGCTCAGATACATGGTGATAGAAGCAGTCTTGCTTCTATGAACACAGAATTCAGCTTCAGTGGAACTTGTGACAGGGCCAAACCGAAGTTGGGGAATCAGAATGGTAACAAAAGAAGATTTACTAGTAAGAACAAGGAGAACCAGAATTTATCACTAGGACGAGATGGTGTTAAAAGAGAAAAGGAATCAGTTCGTACCAGATTTAGTAAACCAACTTTATCTAGAAAAACTGGTTTGAGGAAAGGAGGCCCAAGTCTGTCAGAGAACGAGTCTAAACGTAGCAATATAGTGTCAAATATTACTTCTTTTGTTCCACTTGTGCAACAAAAACAAGCTGCTGCAGTCATTACTGGTAACTTCCAAATATTCTCATTTGCCCTTTTTGTGTGTCTTGTTAATAATTATCTATGATAAATCCTTTTCTTTTTGTTTCTGGTCTAAAATTAATGTTGAACTCGACATTTCATGAATTTTGAACATGATCATATAAGTTCCATTGGTCACATGTCTCTACAACGGGAACCATCCATTCTTCACCATTCCAAAGTCTGTGTCATCTTCTGATGCTATATTGAGTTTCAAAATTTTTTTTTTATTTTTTTTTTATTTTTTTATTTTTTTTTTTAAATTTTATTTTATCGTTCTGGTTGCCTATGCTTCAGTTTCTCTGAAAAAGACACAACATTTATAATTTTTACTTGTTTAATACTAACTCTGAATGAGTATTTAAAATTGTGTGCCATCTTTGTTTCGTTGGTAATGTATATTTGGACTTTTTTGCTTCCTTGTAGGAAAGAGGGACGTCAAAGTGAAGGCCTTGGAGGCTGCTGAGGCTGCAAAGCGTCTTGCTGAAAAGAAGGAGAATGAAAGAAAGATGAGAAAGGAAGCCTTGAAGCTTGAGCGAGCAAGGATGGAAGAACAAATGGAGCTAGAGAAGAAAAATAAAGAAGAACAGAAGAAAAAAGAAACTGATATGGCAGCAAAGAAAAAGCAGAGGGAAGAAGAAGAAAGGAAAGAGAGAGCAAGAAAAAGAAAGCGTGTTGAGGATGGAAAGAGACGCCAGCTGCAACACGAGAAAAAGTTTCATGCTGAGAAAGAAGATAAAGATGTAAAATTCCAAGCTCCAGTATGTTCTCCTAGGCTCTCATATGATATTATTTAAGTTCCTTTGAGCTTCCTGTTTTAGGAATATTATAATTATATGGTTGTCAATTTTAGGATGGAAGAGCATCCGAGATGAAGGAATCCAAAGACAGATTAGGAAAGCATGGGATGATTGAAAAGATAAAGGGAGACAACAGTCTTCTGACAGTTCCTCACGCTAAACCTACAACTACGTCTAGCAAGGTTTCAACCGTTGACACTATAAATGCAAGTAGCATTCCTGAAGATTGTGAGGCTTTGGGAAATTATGGAGATAATTCAAAGGTAGAAGCTCATTTGCATGTTTTCATTTTCTTATTAAACACAATGTCCTCGAATTCTTCTCCAAAACTGCAGAGAAAGTTGCAAATAATTCCTAGTGCTATTTGGTGACCAACAAATCTATTGCCCCTTTGCAACCAGATAGAGAACTGCCTTGTTTTCTTTTGATTTTCGACTTTTGAGTGCTTTTATATTCTCATTATCGCTATAAAATATGATGATCTTATTCTTGCCAAATACGATCATCCCAAGTCAGAGTCCTAAAGTGTCAAGTCCTCTGAACTTCCCAAAAGCATTTTAACTTTCACAGCAAGGACAAGAAAGTTTTTGCAGTTTGATGGTGCAGTATTTTCACAGCCACAGTATGCTAGGGATTTTTACACATAATAGGAAAAGAGGAGTTTCCTTATTGATATGCTAATAGACAGTTATGCCATTGGTTTGTTCTCTTTATCTTTGCATATAATGCTCATGCCTAGTCTACCTTTAATTAGGTGATGGGATGCTTTTACAAGAGAAGTGAGAGTGGCAGTGTAATTTCTAATGTAAGTCAAGAACAATCCTATGACATTGAACAATCCTATGACATTTCTCCGTATAAAGGTTCAGATGATGAAGACGAAGACGAAGACGATGACGATGACGTCCCAAATACTAAATTTGTTCCATCATGGACCAGGTATGTCATCTGAATTTAAAATTTTGAATGCAGCATTTTGAAATTGTTTCTAAATTTTATTCGACACAAAACAAGATACCTGCAGATGTTGCAGATGCAATAATGCAAGCTTCTTTCAATGTTTCTTGCTTGGTCCTCATTGCTTTTTAAAAATAAAGCCCAGTTGGATGAAAGTGGCTCTCTTACATCCTCTTATTCTTCCCCAACAACATAGTATATCAAAAAACAAAAACAAAAAATCATATCGCCTATTATTTTTTGAGACAAGAACATCTCTCTGCATGCCTTGATGGAGCAATTAATAATTAATTTTTCCTTTCTGCAGTAAAAGTCAGCTGGCTCTGGTTGTTACATCTCAGCAAAGAATAGATCCAGAATCAATTTTTCCCCCAGAAAGCTTTTGTAGTATTAGTGAAGGTGATATTAGTGGATACTGTGGCATTATTGCTCTGTTATCTATTTCAGAACTGAAATATTAATTGCTCTTTTTTGCAGTTCTCTTGCCAAGAAGGCTTCAGCAAAAATAGTGGTTGTACCAATAAAGTTGGAAAATTCTATAATAGATTTTGGAAGTCCATTTTGCAGCCGAATTCAGGAGTAGGTGATTTCCTTTTATCACATTTGTACCTAAAGATTGTAAATTTATAATAATGTATATATTTCTCATTCCATGTGTAGATTAGATCCTTAGCAAAGTGAGAATACTTGAACAGATTATCTAGTTGGTGATCTACTGCTAAGCCTTTTGTTTGTTAACTGACTGAAGCAACCTCGTCAGCTAAGGTAGCAAAAAGAGTGCACCTTTTATTTTATATGAAGACGAAAGAAAATGAAAATGAAAATGCCTTTCTGTATTTGAGTGCATTGATAAAAAGAGGAATTGGTGGGAAAGAAAGCCAGAAGGTGGGGTAGCTTTAGCTTATCTCAATAGAATTTTAAAATTTAATATTATGTAAATTCAATCTGGATTGAAATTATCTTTAAATATTAGTCTTAAAAATTGAAAGAAATGTTGGGATTATACGTAATTGAAGCACCTTAATGAAGATTTATAGTATCATTTAAATAAATACAGATCGAAATCATAGATAGAAAATAATGTATTAAATGTGTAATTTATAAATCATATGCCCGTTTTAGTGGGTAATAAAGTTTATATAATAAGGAACTTGAGTTTAGTTTAATTCATATGAAATTAAACCGTTTTAGCATATGCCAAATCACAATCCAAAATGGTCAAATTCTTACGTACAGTATTTTCATTCTTCTAGTTCTAACGGCTAAATGACGTATGCTCTATTGAATTAATAAACCTGGGCCAGAAGGTCACATGGCCTCCCTATGTCATTATCAAATCCTCCAAATTTATCACGAAACTTTATACATTGCTGGTTGGATTTCAAATCTATTTAAAAGCTTAAAGATTTGAATGTCCAAAGCCATTGGCCATTTATAATCCGTTTCTGCTTAAAAAGTAAAAATGCACCCCCACCCAACAAGTTTAAATTAAAAAGTGAAGCATAAAGCACAGCTAGCTTATACAATTTGTTTTAATTTCTAATTGTATCTTTCAATTCTCTAACAATAGCAAAAGCCCTTAAACCAGTTTAGGGAGATAATTAAACATTAATGATATATTAATGTGTCAATGTGAAAGTGGCTTATATAGTAGCACATGATCAAAGAGGGCAAGTCACATGGCTCCCTGCTGACCTTGTCATTTGCCAATAATTGTAAGCATCTTAAAACGGTCAGTTTTGAAAATTGCACATTTTAGCTCATCCTGACCAAACTGAGACCCCACACCACAACCTGATCTCACTTGTCAATTTGACTCGGTCCATTGATGAACTCAAAACGCTGTCGTTTTAGAAGCACACAAAAGAACTGGTAACCGTTATATGCTTGCTCCATTTTTCAATCCCCCACTCCCTCTTGTCTTCAAACCGTTTAAACCCCATTTTCCCACCAACCCTTCTCTCTCTATCTTTCTCTCTCTCATGAATTCAATTCCAATCATTCTATTCTTTAGTCTTTTTCACCATTAGCGCTCTAAAAAGCTTAGCAGAAACAAACCCATTTGTTAAAGATCAAGATTTTCAATAACTATGCTTCCAAGAAAGCTTCTTGTTTTCTTGTTTCTCTTAGTTCTCTTCAATTCCAGAAACCCGTTTCTTGTATTAGCCAATTATAATACTGTGAGTTTTGATTTCTCTTCTTTAACTCTCCGGAATCTCACTCTTCTTGGCGATTCTTATCTCCGAAATGGCGCCGTTGGTCTCACACGCGATGTTACAGTCCCTTCTACAAGCTCAGGCACTGTAATCTACAACGACCCAATTTCATTCTTCGACCCAGAATCAAATAAAACTGCTTCTTTTTCAACAAAGTTCACTTTCTCCATTAATAATGTCAGTCCTGCTTCTTTTGGCGATGGGTTTACCTTTTTTCTTTCACAAGATAATCAAACTATTGGTAGTGCAGGTGGATTTCTAGGGCTTGTTAATTCTTCTCAATCGAGCAATAATAAGTTTGTGGCTATTGAATTTGACACTAGACTTGATCCCCATTTCAACGACCCAAATGATAACCATGTAGGTTTAGATGTTGATAATCTTGATTCAATCAAGACTGCTGATCCAAACTCGCAAGATATCGATTTAAAGAGTGGGAATTCAATCACTGCTTGGATCAATTACAAGAATGATTTGAAGGTTTTGAATGTTTTCTTGAGTTATTCGAATTCAAAACCCTCTAAGCCATTATTGGGTGTAGATATAGATCTCTTTGGGCATCTTAAAGAGGACATGTATGTGGGGTTTTCAGGTTCTACAGAAGGAAGCACTGAGCTTCATTTAATTGAGAGTTGGAGCTTTAAAACGTTTGGGTTTCTTCCTGTTAGGCCAAAATCACATCCTGATAATGTGTCTGATACTTCAGTGACAGTAGAAGCACCTACTGCTCCTTTTTTGAGGTCTACTGATAAGAGTCACAAAGGTCTTGGCTTGGGTCTTGGAATTGCTGGTCCAGCTTTCTTTTGTGCTTTCTTGGTGGTTTTTGGCTATATTTCTTTCAAGAAGTGGCAAAAGAGCAAGATTGTGAAGAGCTTAAAAGCAGAACTAGTGGCAGGGCCAAGAGAATATAGTTTTAAAGAGCTTAGTTCAGCCACAAAAGGTTTTCATTCGAGCAGAATGATAGGAAGAGGCTCATTTGGTAATGTGTATAAAGCTTACTTTCTCTCTTCTGGTAATGTTGCGGCAGTTAAAAGATCAAAGCATTCTCATGAAGGTAGAGCTGATTTTATTGCTGAATTATCTATTATTGCTTGTTTGAGGCACAAGAATTTGCTGCAACTACAAGGTTGGTGTGTTGAGAAGAATGAATTGCTGCTTGTTTATGAGTTTATGCCGTACGGAAGCCTTGATAAGATGTTATATCAGGAAGCTGAAAATGGTACAATTTTAACTTGGTCTCATAGGCAGAACATTGCTATTGGCTTGGCCTCTGCATTGACATATTTGCATCAAGAATGTGAGCAGCAAGTAATTCATAGAGACATAAAGACTAGTAATGTAATGCTGGATGGGAATTTCAATGCAAGGCTAGGTGATTTTGGGTTGGCAAGGATAATGGATCATGATAAGAGTCCTGTATCTACACTTACTGCTGGAACAATGGGGTATTTAGCTCCTGAATATCTTCACTATGGGAAAGCAACTGAGAAAACTGATGTTTTCAGTTATGGTGTAGTGATGCTTGAAGTGGCTTGTGGCAGGAGGCCAATTGAGAGAGAAGGAGATAGCCAAAAAATGGTGAATTTGGTTGACTGGGTTTGGGGGTTGTACAGTGAGGGAAAAATTATTGAAGCAGCTGATGAAAGGCTAAATGGCGAGTTCGAGGAAGAAGAAATGACTAGGCTGTTACTTGTGGGATTAAGCTGTGCTAACCCAGATAGCATGGCGAGACCTACAATGAGAAGAGTCTTGCAAATCCTTAATGGTGAGGCTGAGCCTATTATTGTTCCAAAGATGAAACCAACTCTCACTTTCTCTTCTTCCTTGCCTTTGAGTCTCGAAGATATTTTTTGTGATTGTGAATAGTTCAAGATTCCCCATCAACTTCCTGGAGCAGCTTTTTCAATTTTTCTCGTGCAACACTTGCTAATTGTTTGATTCTTTCAGTTTTTGTCTACTTTCTGATTGTAGCTTAGTTAGCTACACTGTATACAATGATTAGATAATGTTGGAGTTCAAAAGCCTTAGTTCAATACTGTTCTATTGAACTATGTGGTTACTACTGTATCCTGCAGACAAACCAGTTTCTGTTAACACTTCAAAATGTATTTGATCTTTGGAAATTATCAATTGACAAGTTTTCCACTATATCTTCTCTTCTTCTAGCTTATAATTTATATGTAAATTCACTTAGATACGTTTTGGCAATGTTGTAAACAAACTTCTGGTGATTCCCTGCATACTCTTGAAAAGTGGGTATGATTGTAACTTCAGATTCTTGCGTATGAACTGTGAAGGAGAAAGATGAAGAAGTTGGTAGCTATATATATAGTATACTTTATATGAAAGATGAAGAAGAAAGATGAACAGGGATATTTATATCAAATGGGGAGAGAAATTTTGATAGATTTTTTTCACGTCTAAGTCTCTTTTTTAAATATTGAGGTATAAAAAATAATTTTCTAAATTTTTATGGATTTTTTAAAGATTCCTGCTACCTTTTTAACAATGTGCATTATAATATTTAAAAGATATATGTGTAAATTATAGCATACTGCGTGTTCTTGTATTTTGAAAATTAATTTTTAACCTTATACCTTTTAATCTTTTAAAATTAATAATATTTTTTCTCATTTAATTTCATTTATTTTACAATCATAATTAATATTTTTTGAAAACGATTAATATGAATATGGATGTGTAAACTTGAATATCTAATAATATATATTAATAAGTATAAATAAAATAAAGAAATTCAATCTTAAAAAAAAAAAGAAATTCAAAAAAATCAGAACTATTATTATTATATATATTATGTTAAAAAATAATTGTAAAATTTTTTATTGTTATATTAATTTGATCTTTTTAAAATTACTATAAATTTTAATATTGTCCATTAATATTCTAAAATTTTTATAACATTTAATTATAAAATAATTGGATGAATAAGAATATTCATAGTAAAAAGGCTAATATTTAAAGTCAATTAGCAATCTTATCATTGAAAACAATGTAAATATTATCTATAACTTGCCTACTCCATTAAGAATTATAAGAATTAATATTTTATTATAACAATAAAAAATAATTATTTGAACTCATATAAGAATATCATAGTAAAAAGGCTAATTATTAAAGTCAATTAGCAATCTTATCATGAAAACAATGGAAATATTATCTATAACTTGCCTTACTTCCATTAAAGAATTATAAGAATTAATATTTTAATTATATGTAAATATTATCTATAACTTGCCTACTCCATTAAGAATTATAAGAATTAATATTTTATTATAACAATAAAAAATAATTATTTGAACTCATATTCAAGTTTCTCTTTACGTTTTATTAGTATGAATAAATAATTAATATTTATTTACAACAACTTCTACTAAGAGTAAGTTAATAACATATTATTTTATATACTATAAATTATATTATTTTTAATATTATAAATGTATTAAATTTACTATATATTAAGAATATTAATTGAGAAGTTTTCTTTGGAATTAGAATTTTATTGTGGAAAAGTTTTGTCCTACCATATTATTATATATGTTTGTGTTTAGCTCTAATTGCTTTTACGGATTAAAAATTTATTTATTTTGCTATCAAAAATATGTTCTTATTGGCTTAGTAATTATTTTATTTATAATTGCATATGCTACTTAATTATTATTTTTTAATAATGTTCAACATAATGATACTTGCAAAAAGAATAAATTAGTCACAATAATAGATTTTTAAAAAAATAATATTAGCTGATTTTAAGCTAAATATTATATTTTGTTATCCATTCACTTTTATATTTTATTTTAGAAAATAGTTAGTACCTTCTCTAACATTCAAAATCTAAATTAAAAAAATAAATAATCGTCGTGTTAGCTATTGGATTTAATTATTCTTAATACTGAATACTCAAAATATTGATAAAATAAATTTTAGCTAAGAATAATGTAAAATATTCACAATATCAATTGATGATTTCATTATAATATATCGATTTAGATTCACTTTGACTCTGCAATGACATATCCTAGCTGCTGCTAGCAATAGTTCTAGCCTGAATTTTACTAAATCTTATGAATTATATACTAAATTAAGGAAAATATTGCAAGGATTATGAATTTCATTGTTAATTTCACATTTGATCAACTATTTGACCAAATCCAACCTTAGATATAACTTCAAAAACCCTAGCTATTAACTCAAACAATCGCATAAAACTTAGAACTAACTGCGGAAAAATGATGAAATAACAAGAGGTCTATAAATACAAAAATTAAAATACAAGTAAGAATAACTGAGTAATATATAATGAAAAACATGTATATGCAAATAACAAAATTATTAAGACAATCAATTATTATATCAAATGAATTTACTATCAAAAAATTTGGAAAAGTAATAATAATTATTATAACTAAAATTATTTTTTTTTTAAATATTATTCTATAATATATAAAATGTAAAAAATAATAATTTACGAGTAAAAACAACGAGTATAAACACGTGCAACGCGCACGTTGTATAAGGAAAATAATAAATTAATCTTTGAATTATAATCATACTATGAGAATCTCTATCTTCAAACATAAATTATAAAATTTTTAAATTATAATTTTATTAATATTATTAGAGATTTATTATTAATTTAACTATAATTTAAAAACTAATTTTTAGTCAGTTGCCATTTAAAAGACCCTATTTGAAATGAAATAATAAGCTAGGGACTTCATATTAGCTTTTCAAAATAAAAGCTAGGCGACTTCATATTACTTTTTCAAATAGAAGTCTCCATATATATATATTATATATATTATATATATAAAATATATATATATAATTTGCTTTTTATAATTTGCTTTGAGAAACAAAGGTCACCGAATATTACAAAATTCTCCATTGGCATGAAGTTTGTTTTCATTTCGGTACATTGATTTCGTTCTGATATAATTTCTCTCTGTAGTGAATCACACACAGCAAAGTCCTCCTTGCTTTCCTCGCTTTCTTTCTTTCCCTGTCCGAGACACAGAGGGAGGGCAGTCTATTTGCGGATCTCACTCTCTCTCGATCCAGAGCAAGAGGTAAGCCTAATACCCATTGCTGTTGATCTACTCCATTTCTCTCTTTAACTCCAACCTAATCTACTTCAATCTTCGATTATTGGTTGCCTATGAACTCACACGATGTTTCATTTATCAATCTTATGATTCGTGCAATTTAGTGAAATCTTGATTTTGTTTTAGTTAAATCTCTTTATTGTGAAAATTGAATTGAATACATGCAAAATTTTGAATTTGCAATGGGTGCTTTTTTTTATTATTATTTAAAATTGTTTTCCATTTGATTAAATCATAAGGGTTATTTTATGTGTACCTTTTCTGCTAGATCTGATGTAGTCAGTCTCTCAGTTGAATGTGCAGTAATCTGTTTCTTGTGCATGTGTGGAATGTATGCAACTAATGCTTTATTTCAGTGAATTGTGATTGAAATTTTTATCAAGTCTAACATTAGATTAGATTATTAAAAGTAGGGGTTTATGAGAGCTAATGGTGATTTTAATTTTGCGCGTCATTTTGACTTGCTGAAAGAAAGAAGTGGAGAGTCAGAATCCTCCTTAACTAAAATTTTCAACTTTTTCCCTTTTTTTTTTTTTTTTTTTTTTTTTTTTTTTTTTTTCTTTTTTTTTTTTTTTGAAAAAAAAGAAACATTGTGAAGGACACAAACGGTGATGACATTCTTCTGGTGCTTTTGGATAATTTCCAGGCCGCTAAGCGTTCATTTTTATATGCCATGCTCACGACAATGAAAGTATTGCAGTTTTAGGGCAGATTTTTTTTTTTTTTTTTTTTTTTTTTTTTTTTTGAAAAAAGAAACATGTGAAGGACACAACGGGTGATGACATTTTCTGGTGCTTTTGGATAATTCAGGCCGCTTAAGCTTCAATTTTTATATGCATGCTCACGCACATGAAAGTGCAGTTTTAGGGCAGACCTATTTTAGCTTCAGTTTTGTTTCTTTCTTGATGGCTCATGAGCTTGAGTTTGCTGCTTGTCAATATGAAGGGTATGCATCGCCTGAGTTCTTCTGCCTCCTCTGTTTAGCAACTGCTAGATGCTGATAGAAATTGGGTTTAGTACAAGCAACATTATACTGATATGGGTCGCTTAAAGCTGCAATCAGGAATTAAAGCAATGGAGGAAGAATCTGTGGGATGTGACTCTTCCTATTCTAATAAAGCTACTTTAGCATGCATGATCAATGCAGAAGTAGGTGCTGTATTGGCAGTTATGAGGAGAAACGTAAGATGGGGAGGTCGTTATGTGTCTGGTGATGATCAATTGGACCACCCTTTGATTCAGTCTTTGAAGGCATTGCGGAAGCAAATTTTCTCATGTCAGCATCCATGGCATACCATCAATCCTGCTGTGTATCTCCAGCCATTTTTGGATGTAATTCGATCTGATGAAACTAGTGCCCCAATCACTGGAGTTGCATTGTCATCTGTTTACAAGATTTTAACTGTCGATGTGATTGATCAAAATACTGTAAATGTTAAAGATGCCATGCACTTGGTAGTTGATGCTGTGACAAGTTGCCGATTTGAAGTGACAGATCCTGCAACGGAAGAGGTGGTGCTAATGAAGATACTTCAGGTTCTTCTTGCTTGTATGAAAAGTAAAGCATCTGCCACACTGAGTAATCAGCATGTCTGTACCATAGTGAACACTTGTTTCCGTATAGTTCACCAAGCTGGAACTAAAGGTGAATTGTTACAGCGGATAGCTCGTCACACAATGCATGAACTTGTTAGATGCATTTTTTCCCTCCTGCCAGATGTTGACAACAAAGAATATGCAATGGTCAATGGAGTTAGTCCTACCAAACAGGAGGTATAATTGCACATTTCATTCTTGTTCACAACTGCAATTTCTCCTCTCCTTGTCCTTTAGTTAGTTTCTGAGATGTGATAGAAAAGTGCTGGAAGAAAAACTGGAAAAAAAAATTGAATTCTTTTCCTTTCAATGCATTTTAATGAATCATGGTTAAGGGTTTGGCTAAAGAAACCGAAATTGATGTCCATCAAGGGTATTGGTTTTGATGAAATTGATAGAAAAGAGATCCTTCTTATTCTTATTAATTACACATCAGAAAATGTGGTTCTTATTCCATTTTTCAGACTTGAAAAGTGATGAAAGATTATGGGAAAATTTTTAGTGGTTTTAATTCAAAGTCAATAGCTGATAAATCTTGGCTCATTGATTTTACTTTAACTGAAACTTTGAGGTTTACCTTAATGGTATTTTGGTTTGAGATTTACAGACTCTTCTCTTTTACCATTTCTTCGAGTATCAGTTAATCAATAAGGAATTATGGGAGGCTATTTTGAGTTCCAGGACTGGTATCTCATCATCAAGGCATATGCCAAAACTTGTCTAGCACTTTAGTACCTTGAAAATTTTCTCTAAATTTGCAAACGTAGCTAATGTCTTGAGGTTTATCACTTTGAATACGTCTGGTGGTATGTAGCTTAGAGATGATGTATTGGCCTTCTACATCTATAAGATTTGGATCGAACAGTGGTAATAATAAGTTTTTGTTTTGGACTTATCTGCATCATTTTTTTTATAACTTAGAATATGTGTAACCTTCTATCGTACAGATTCGTGGTCTAGATAATGATTACAGCTTCAGTAGCAAACAAATGGAAAATGGCAACAATGGCTCTGAATTTGATGGTCAAGCATCCTCTGTAAGTTTTGGTTCCAGTGCTTCCTCAGATCTGGTGGCAACTGTAATGGAGGAAAACACAATTGGAGTTCATAGTGGAAAAAATGCCCTTCCACATGATTTGCACCTCATGACACAGCCATATGGTCTCCCCTGCATGGTGGAGATATTTCACTTCTTGTGTTCTTTATTAAATGTTGTTGATCATATGGGAGTGGGTCCGAGGTCTAATACAATAGCTTTTGATGAAGATGTGCCTCTTTTTGCACTGGGCTTAATTAATTCAGCTATAGAATTGGGTGGGCCTTATATTCGTCATCATCCCAAGTTATTGAGTTTGATTCAAGATGAACTATTTTCTAACCTGATGCAGTTTGGCTTGTCAATGAGCCCACTTATTCTCTCAATGGTTTGTAGTATTGTTCTCAACCTGTATCACCATTTACGTGCTGAACTCAAATTGCAGCTTGAGGCTTTCTTCTCTTGTGTGATTTTAAGACTTGCACAGAGCAGATATGGTGCTTCATACCAGCAGCAGGAGGTTGCAATGGAGGCTCTTGTAGACTTCTGCAGGCAGAAAACATTTATGGTGGAGATGTATGCTAACTTAGACTGTGACATAACATGCGGTAATGTGTTTGAAGACCTAGCTAATTTGTTGTCAAAGAGTGCATTTCCAGTGAACTGCCCTTTGTCTGCAATGCACATTCTTGCACTGGATGGTCTCATTGCTGTTATTCAAGGGATGGCTGAAGGGATAGACAATGGATCGGTTGGTTCAGAACAGGCTCCATTGAACCTTGAGGAGTATACACCCTTCTGGATGGAAAAGTGTGACAACTATAGTGATCCTACTCATTGGGTTCCCTTTGTCCTCCAGAGAAAGCATATCAAGAGGAGATTGATGATTGGAGCTGATCACTTCAACCGTGATCCAAAGGAAGGCCTGAAATTTCTCCAGGGAACGCATCTCTTACCTAACAAACTTCACCCCCAAAGTGTGGCCTGCTTTTTCAGATACACTGCTGGGTTAGATAAGAATGTTATTGGAGATTTCCTGGGAAATCATGATGAGTTTTGCGTTCAGGTTCTTCATGAATTTGCCAGGACTTTTGATTTCCAAGGTATGAATCTGGATGATGCTCTGCGGTTGTTCTTGGAAACTTTTAGGCTGCCTGGAGAATCTCAAAAAATACAAAGGGTACTTGAGGCCTTTTCTGAGCGATACTATGAGCAATCACCACAGATCCTAGCTAACAAGGATGCTGCTCTTTTATTATCATATTCTCTTATAATGCTCAACACAGATCAGCATAATGTACAGGTGAAAAAGAAGATGACAGAAGAGGATTTTGTACGAAATAATAGGCGCATCAATGGAGGCAATGACTTACCTCGGGAATTCTTGTCTGAACTGTATCATTCAATATGCAAGAATGAGATCCGCACTACTCCAGAACAAGGAGCTGGCTTCCCTGTAATGACTTCGAGTCGTTGGATTAGTCTGATACACAACTCCAAGAAAACTTCTCCGTTCATTGTATATGATTCAAAGGCATACCTTGACCGAGATATGTTTGCTATAATGTCAGGTCCCGCAATTGCTGCTATTTCGGTTGTGTTTGATCATGCAGAACACGAAGATATTTACCAGACATGCATTGATGGATTCTTAGCCGTTGCAAAAATTTCTGCATGTCATCATTTCGAACATGTACTGGATGATCTAGTTGTGTCTCTATGTAAGTTCACAACCCTCTTGGATCCATCATATCCAGAGGAACATGTGCTTGCCTTTGGTGATGACACTAAAGCCAGGATGGCAACTGTGGCTCTTTTCACCATTGCAAATAGATATGGTGATTATATTCGTACAGGTTGGAGAAATATTATGGAGTGCATTTTGCGGTTGCACAAGCTTGGTCTTCTTCCAGCATGTGTGGCCAGTGATGTGGCTGATGAATCAGAAACTTCTGCTGACCCTGGACATGGGAAACCTATTACAAATCCTTTGCCTTCAGCTCATATGCAATCCACGGGAGCTCCCAAGAAATCTTCTGGCTTGATGGGCCGGTTTAGTCAGCTCCTATCTCTTGAAACTGAGGAGCCAATATCTCAACCCACTGAGGAAGAACTTGCTGCTCAGCGACGCACCCTTGAAACTATCCAAAAATGTCATGTTGATAGCATATTTGCTGAAAGTAAATTCTTGCAGGCTGAATCCTTAGAACAGCTTGCACAAGCACTCATCTGGGCAGCAGGTGGGTCTCAGAGAGGGAACAGCTTTCCTGAGGATGAAGATACTGCAGTTTTCTGCCTGGAGTTGCTGATTGCAATTACTCTTAACAACCGGGACAGGATTGTGCGGCTGTGGCAGAGTGTTTATGAGCATATAGCTAATATTGTTCAGTCCACTGTAATGCCTTGTGCCTTGGTAGAGAAGGCTGTGTTTGGACTCCTTCGAATTTGTCAACGATTGCTTCCTTACAAAGAGAACCTGGCCGATGAACTTTTAAGGTCGCTGCAACTTGTTTTGAAACTAGATGCTCGTGTTGCTGATGCTTATTGTGAACAAATTACAGTGGAAGTTAGTCGCCTCGTAAAAGCAAATGCTACACATATCAGATCTCTAATGGGGTGGCGTACAATTACGTCCTTACTTTCCATTACAGCTCGTCACCCTGAAGCTTCTGAACCTGGATTTGATGCATTGTCGTTCATTATGAGTGACGGAGTCCACTTGTTACCGGCCAATTATGTCCTCTGGGTGGATGCAGCAAGGCAGTTTGCAGAGTCTCGTGTGGCAGAGGCAGCAAGGTCTGTGCATGCACTAGATCTTATGACAGGCTCCGTTGATTGTTTAGTTCGGTGGTCTCACGAGGCTAAGGAGTCATTGGGGGAGGAGGAAGCTGCAAAGTTGTCTCAGGATATTGGGGAAATGTGGTTGAGGCTTGTGCAGGGATTAAGAAAAGTTTGTTTGGATCAGAGAGAAGAAGTTAGAAACCACGCACTTCTATCATTGCAAAAGTGCTTGACAGTAGTGGATGGGATCAATCTCCCACCTGGTTTGTGGTTGCAGTGTTTTGATCTGGTAATCTTTACATTGCTTGATGACTTGCTTGAAAATGCTCAGGGACACACCCACAAGGGGTACAGAAACATGGACGGCACACTAATCATTGCTGTAAAGCTCCTCTCAAAAGTGTTTTTACGGTTACTCCATGACCTTTCACAATTAACAACTTTCTCTAAGTTATGGCTGGAAGTTCTCAGCCGAATGGAAAAATATCTAAAGGTTAAAGTAAGAGGGAGGAAGAGTGAGAAGCTTCATGAAGCTGTGCCTGAGCTTCTTAAGAACACCTTGCTTGTAATGAAGACCAGTGGAGTGCTTGTACAAAGTAGTGCCTCAGGTGGAGATAGCTTGTGGGAACTAACGTGGCAGCATGTGAATAAAATTGCACCATCTTTGCAATCTGAGGTGTTCCCTGATCAAGAATTGGAGAAGTTGCAGCCTAAGAATGCTGAATCGGGTGGAGGTATTATGTCTGATGAAACAGGTTCTGTTCCTCCAAATGTATCAGTGGCTTCTGGCGGTTGACATGAGCGCAGTGTTTCATACTATCCTGCATTAGTTTGTTGTTACATGTAGCTATGAGCACAATATTTGCAAGCACTGAGGCGGTACATTTTCATGAACGAACACCAAAAATTAACTGGACTATTGGTACATGCCGTCGGACGCAAATTGCACAGAAGAAAGGAGCCAAAATTGTGAACGTTGTTTTAAGAGAAGTAAAAAAAGGTTTGATTTTTCCTACTAATGCTCATCTCTGCTTTCATGAAACCTGGCCAGAGTTTGTTGTCATTACCAAATTGCGGATTTCCTGAAGATACATATGCAAATGAGTGATTCAACTGTGTAGGAAGATTTTGGAGATGTGAATTTGTACTTTGGAGACGTGATTCAACATGTGATTTTGTATTTTGACGATTTTGAAGAGAACAATTTGTCTCATATATACTGTGTAGGAAATTTTAGCCTATATAATGAAGAGTTCAATTTTTTCTGAAGACTAATGAATGGACCTATGATATGGCAAAGCCAGATTATTATTGGGCCTGGAAAATTTTGTTTTGGTGATGCAAATTTTTTGTTGACTGTATTTGATTGAAAAGAGTAATGCACAAGATACTAACCATTGTATAGACAATCAATATTTATAATGGATTTAGCTCTTGTTGATAAAAATGTTATTGCAATTATTACAGCTTGTCTTGTGCCTCTCATCTTCATACCCATAAGGACATTCTGCTTCTAATTATTTTGATATTTTCCCTTTTAGGTCCTTGATTAAGATTCCTTTTAATTTTATTCTCCTGGTGAAAATTTTCTTTGTAATAAATATTCAGCTTCAATATCAATATCCCTTTTTTACAGAATCCATGTGATATAAGCAAAAAAAATGTGCAAAAATATAAATTAAACAAAGCTTGAGGATGACAGCACAGCGACTGAAATGGTCAGGAAACTGTAGTGTTTGCACCAAAAGGTTAAAACAATGAAATATTAAGGAAACAGTAGTGTTGGCACAAAGTGGTGAAAACAATCATTTTGATTCTCAGATTCAAAAGGACAAAAAAAGAACAAAAAAAAAAAAGAAAAGTAAAAAAAACAGTCATTTTCATGTCAAAGTCAGCCTCCCAAACTGCTAAATTCTCTGCAAATGCAATTTTCTCTGAGTACTCCATTTCCAAATTTTGCTAATACTTGTGTTTGCCTTTTTATGACCCATATTAATGGACTCTGATACTTCGACTTCATGGTACTGACTCTGTCCAGTGCTCCTCCTTCCTTTCCAAGCCTTCCAACTCCACTTGCTGCTTGTACTGGGTTACTAGTTTCAGTATTCAATTAATATTGCTTTCAATTTCATGGCCACCATAAACAACGGTAAGGTAGAAAAGTTAATAATAAAAATTGAATGTACTTGTAGGAAGTGGATAAAAATTTTATAAATAATGAAAATAAAAGAAATAAAATCATAATAAAGTGCAGTAGCAATATGCAATATGTGTATATATAATAGGAAAAACAAATAATCCACCTTACAGTAGTATTGTATATGGAGAGAATGAGAAAGGTAGAAGAAAGAAATGGAGGAATATGAATGTGATCATGGTGGTGACAGAAGAGGAGAGAGCACACTCCCTGCAAAACCAAAGACTTTGTTTAGCTAATGCTGGGTTGTGCTCTCTCTCTTCTGTCAACATTTCTTTTTCCCTTTTCTCTTTTCTTTGCTCTCTTCTTCCTCTTTAGCCAATACAATCACTTTTCCTGGAAAATATGTCCAAAGCGCACTTTTCCTGGAAAATGTAATTAAGATGGTCATGGTCATTTCTTACTCATCATTTCACGTATGCATGTGCCAATATAAACAAAATATTGTTTTGTAACAGGAAAAATACAATACTGCTTACCCATATATGCTTATACATTGCTGTGGATCAATTCAAGATTATAATTCAAGATTGATCCAATATTCTATTTTTCGCTCAGCATATGTTTTAAAAGAAGAAAACACAGTCAAAACACTGAAACTATGAAAAAAAATAAAGAACAGAAAGAAAATAAAATCTGAAGATTCAAAAGAAAATCAAGATAGGTAGAAAGGAAAAGAGAGAGAGACGTAGAAGCTAACAACTCTATCCCAACCTAACCGATGAGCAAAATCCAGAAGTCCCCGTTGGCCCTTTTATAGGGGCTTGATTACCGGCTAATACCAGTAAGATATGGTAGTGACTGGCAAATGAGGGTGGAAGTGGTCCTCAAGATTAAGTTGGATTTAACAATGGCTATGTTATATATAAGTTGGCAGTGTTCACACAAATAGAGATTGCCTTTCCTTTTGAATTTGCAATTTGAAAAATCTTCACTGTCATAATTGTTAAATGGTAACAAGCAGAAGAATTATCTTAAAATATTTGCATTTACTTTGACTAAATAAGGTAATAAAAGAAATCGTACAAGCAACCTCATAAATGTGGGACTAAATACAGATAGGATAGTGACCGGCTATAGCAGGTGGATCCGAGAATAGGTCTTACTCTCCACCTGACTCTGACCATGCACGTGACCGTAGGTTGCATAAAGCGAGGGATGTGGCTTCTTCATTCCCGAGTTGGCGAATACTGGTAGCAGTAAACGTGGCAAGCAGATAAGGGAACTTCTGTTCTGTGGTCCCAATGGCTCAAACCCATTCAACTCTGATACAAAAGGCCGGGTCTGGATTTCAAGAGGCCCATATGCAAAAAGCTCAAGTTTTCCCAACTTCAAAGCTCGGTATTTATCGTTCACGTTGTCGGGCTTATTTCAGTACTAAAGTTTGAATGTATAAACGGTAATCGACTTGTCTAAACACGGTTTACTGTTCGATACAGCGACAAATTAATGAAAAATAAATTTTTAATAAAATAAAAGAATTTTTTATCATTTATTAAGAAAAAAAATAAAATTAGAAAATTTTTTAAAAACCGCTATTTTCACTATTTTGATCCATAAAAGAAGCCATATATTAAGTGTATGCGAATCTAATCATATATGAACATCAATTAATAAAAGAATCATTAATGTTGAAAAAGAATACATGGGTGGATATCATAGGATCCAATTTATTCTTGTAGCAAACATATTCTTTCAACAACAAATTTTATTTGGAAAAATTAATAGAACTCAACCAACATCTAATAATAAAGTTTTATGCATTTCCTGTGGCAAGAATTCACGTGAGCTTCAACTTGATTCTCATCTGTAATGTCAAATTAAAAAATAACCATTAGATTTAGAACAACCCTATATATTAAAATAGTATCCGCAAGAAAGAAATTAAGAAGAAAGCAATCAAGGAACATATAGCAATTAACAAGAAGAAACAGAGTGAAGTTTAGAGATACCATAGTTGAAGCTGAAGAGCATGGAATGAGCACAAGCGACTGTACAGTTATATTCAGATTCCGAGATTTCAATTTTGTATCCTATTTTGCAAATCTGTATGCATATCAGTCTGGAAAAGAAATTTCTCTTTTCCATATATTTCAAAGCACACTGAGTGGGACAATTCAACGGCGCCGGAGGAGTTTCAGGAGCAGGAAGTCCTGGAACGGGAGGATTAATATTTTCCTGAGCCTGGACCTGGAGTAGCATGGTTGAGACCATCAGTATCGCCATTACTGCTCTTTGCACAGAAGTTCTTTTCATGGCTTAATGACTGTAATTTCTTTGTTTCTTTTGCTCTAAATGTTCTTTTACGGTGCAATATAATCCAGAAGGTCATTATTTATAGGCGAAATATACGACCCTTTATCATGCAGGCAGAATCAGAGTAATTAAGGAATGTTTTTGCAATTTAATTAAATAAATAATTTCACTTACCGGTTGTGGCTCAGTTGGTAATTCAGGTTGAACACGTGGTGAGAGCTGTCAAGTTTGATCCCTATTAAATGCACCGACTAAAGAGTCTTAACTGTGACTAAGCTCCGAGCCGGATTACTGTTCCGGTGGTTTCGCAAAGAGACACTATCAATTCTTAGCTACGCAAAGGAGAAAATATTGCAGAATTACTTCCTCAAGCTAAACTGTAACTAGACTAAGATAAAAATTATATAATGAAATAAAATTTGTGTCTAACGACGAGAAGATTACGTAGAAAATCAGGCTCATGAACACAAAAGCCCAATTAATCCAGAATAAAGCCCATAAACGTTATTTGGGTTATTTCATTGAAAAATCCATAGAAAAGGCCCAATTATATATTCATAAACTTAGCTAATGACCCAATATAGAAGATATCAAAGAACCAAAGGATCCTTTTCAAAATTAGAAACATAATTACTTCTTTTACGTCAAACCAAATCATTTTAAGGGCTACACCAAATTATTACGTCTTGACCTAAATCAAGTGATTGGAAGGTGAGAAAGAGAAAGAAAATTGAGAAGAAGATTTTGAAAGAGAAGGGAAATAGATACAGAATATGAAAAATATCAAAAATTAGTTATCATTCACTTCATATTAAATTAGGTAGACGACGTGTATCAATAGACAAGTATTTTTCTATAACTACATCGACAATTTGACTTAGCTGATCACCAACTCACCAATACTTTGACTTACTAGTTAGCTACAACACAAATTAAACAGGTAAATGAGTTTTCTTTATATATATATATATATATTTTTCAGTACAGTAGACTTAGATAATTTCTTCTACTCATTATTTTTCATTATTAATTAGAATTTGATTAGAAAATATGAATTTAAAGTCTCATAACCTTGCAAATAATTCAAATATTTATCAATTAAAATTCACTGTTATTTCTCAATTACCATATTATTTAGCAACATCATTCACTTTTATAATTGGAATCATTGAATAAGAGTAAATTTTCACCTAATCCAGTGAAAAATTTGGACCAAGGTGTAAAGAAAAAACATAAAGAGGAAAATGATAAAAGGATTAGGACTTTGGCAATTTTAAGTGTTCACAGCACCAACCATAGCAAAGCAAATAATGTTGTTTCCAAGTTTAGGAATTTTTTAAGTTTTTCACCATATCGAAAAGTAGATTTATCTAATTAACACATTTCACATCGAATAAATTCATAAAATGAGATAAAACGCTTCCTATTGATTATTTTTCAAGCTTCATTTTTGGATTGTTCGTGAAGCTAACGGTGAAGCATATTTTAGATTCTGTATCTAAGGTGTTTTCGCCTCTTTTTTCTATCAAAACAAAATAATACCACTCAATAGTTAGATTTTTTAAGAAATTGGATTTTAATTTAAAAAAATTGTAATGATTGGAAGGAACCAACAAGTAAGGGGAAAAAAAACGAGAGAGAAAAATCCCTGTTTAAACTTGAAGGGAAGGCCCATGGACCTAAAAATCCTATCCAAACAGGAAATGGACCGAGGCCCACAAGAATTGTTGTTTTGTTGTGAAGCCTATCCAAGTAATAATAATCATCATTCATTTCACCAAACTTGTATACTTTATTTTCCTCAACCCTCACCTCACCTCACCACGCCACACCTCGCCTCACCTCCTTTCTCTCTCTTATTAATCATCACCCGCTTCTGCTTGCATGCCAAACCCCTGCAACACCTCCCAAACCACTCTCATAAAAATGGCCTCTTTCTTTATTCTTTCTTCCACCTCCACATGTTCCCTTCGTTCTCTCTTACCTTCATCGCGCTTTCATTGCCCACTAGAGAAGCCGCACAGCCTGCTACTGAAACCAATTTCTTGAACATTTCACCGCCACCGTCACCGTCACCGTCACCGTCACCATCACAATTGCTATAATAAAGACCTCTTGGAATTCATTTTTGTTGCTTAATATTTTTATTTTCTTTTGTAATCTGGGCTGCCCATTTCGTTTTTTTGATGATTCTGTTAGTTGATTTGGTCAAAGCCGTATCTTGGTGCTGCTTGGCTCTTTCAAGCTTGGATTTCAGTTTTCTTGATTTGGTTACTGATCTGCTTTCAGATCTTCAAAGCTTAGATTTCTCTCTTTTCTGGTCAGTTTTCTCCAGCACCTACTTATTCGGTAGAGTTCTTTGAGTTTAGGCTCAGGCTTGGTAGTGGCTTCTAGGGTTTATCAAATATCATAACTGCTCGGTACTTTGTGGTTTAATTGGATTTTTAACTGATTAGTTCCTTTTGACCTGTTGCTGGGGGAAGTGAGTTGATGACGGCTTAGTTGGTTGGTTGGCTTTGATAATTTGTCTCACTTGTTAGTTGTTATATGGAGAATCTGTAGCTAGTGGTTAGAGTTTCTGATCTAATTTTGTTTCTGGCATCTTGTCAAATTTTATGACAATCCACTTTTTGTTGTTTTAGCTGTTCCACTTTTGGCAGAAAAATCATGGGGTGTGCTATTGCTAACTTCTTTATGACAGTAATTTGTAGCAACATTCTAGCTTAGTTTGAAGATTGTACAATTGTAACGGTTTAGGTATCCAATGAGTGGAGTTTTAACCCTTTGCCATTTCAGTGAAATTGGTAGGCTACGTAATTAGGACCGTTTAGTGGGTTTCTTTTGTTATGTAAGATCTCTTTTGGTGATTTCTGTCAACATGACTGGAAATGGTAACTGTTTCGTTGAATGGAAAGAACAATATATTTCTCAGGAGCGGGGGAACCGTGTGGTTCACTATTTCCTAAAAGATTCTGCTGGGGAATCCGTCCTTGCAGTTGTGGGTACTGAGAGGAGTGTTAGGCACATGTTCTATGTTGTTGCCGAGGAGTTTGTGCAGGTTTATGGTGCAGAAAATTCAATTCATGCTGGTTTCAAATGGAGGTCAAGAAGGGAGGTTGTGGATTGGCTTACGTCTATGTTATCAAAGCAGCATCTGCAGGGTGATCGGTCCAGTATGCATTTCTTCTTTTGATTTTCTTTTCCTATGCACTATGTAGTTATAGGTTGCCTTAGCAATTGAGTATGTTAAATCATAGTTGTTGATTTGTAATTATAATATTGTGGCCACCATAATGTGAGTTCCATAATTTATCAACAAAGGAAGACTACTTGGTTGTTTAATATCTAATAGAAATTTTAGGGCATTTCATGTTTTCAGGCATTACTTAAGCTCAAAGCTTGAAATTGGCATCTTAGTTGGTCCATTATATTCTGATTTACTTACTTAATCATTGATTAACGGCATAGGTTGTTCGTTTATGTATACGTGTCTGCAATTAAGGTTTTTCTTCAATTATATTCAGGAGGATCTTATGGGGCTTCTTACAAAGTTAATAACTTTCTTTCTGTAATAATTGATTATTAAGAGCAATTTAGTTTAAAGGTTTGCCGCTTTGGAACTCTATTGCCGGTATTCAGTTTGCAGTTTTACAGTTATTAGCTTGGGTCCTGTACAATGCTTTGTCTTTTCTAACCTTCAGTTGTTTGCAATTCTTAGGCCATTATAAGTCTACATCTCCTTGCGAAATTAATTTATTGCTAGATTCTGTCTGTTACTTTTTGCTTTATAATAACTATATTTAGAGTATTAATCATTTGCACCTACTTGCAAAGGCGGCCAATAGTGTTCTATTTTCCAATTTACAGTTAGTTTATGATCTTGCGGCAAAAATTAAATGGAATTATCATTTTGACAGAATCACCGAAACATGATTTAGCGCAACCTTTAGACTCTCCTGAATACTCCATCAATGGGTTTGGTTCTCATCAGCCACAGGTACCAAATGCAGGATGTAGCACTCTTGTTTTTCTTTTTCTTGTATTATTATTATTATTATTACTATTTTGTGCTTTTTAATTTATTTTATTATCATTCTAATAATTCTCTGGTGTATATTCAACCCATGTGTTGCAGGGCCGTCTTTCTAGGAACTTGAGTGGACATAATTCGGACATTGTCTGGTCAGGTATTGCATGGACATGTGGAAAGCAGCTCAAGCATTACCCAGCATTCTGTCGAAATGGGATTACAATAGCGGTAAGCATCTAGGTTAAATAAAAAGGGAAAGTAGAAGGTGTCATATCTACTTTCAATGTGAGAAATGAATACATTTTTGTGCTTGATCAAACTTTGTCTCCTTAGTACAGAAAATTGTAATATGCAATATTTCATAAATTAATTTGTGGCAAGAGTAAAGTAATCAAATAGATAATCCTAAATTAAATTTGACTATCATGCCGTCAATCTAGCCAAAAGAATCACTATAATTTACATTTCAATTCAATTTGACTGACATTATAATCCTGTGACATTTTTCTTCTTATGTGAATTACAGATCCAATCCTTTGTTTTTGTCATGGCTAAAGAAGAGAACCATTACCTTGCTTATTTGGAAGACATGTATGAAGACAAGAGAGGACAGAAGAAAGTCAAAGTGAGGTGGTTTCATCATAACCAGGAAGTGAAGGGCGTAGTTCCTCTAAGAAACGCACATCCAAAAGAAGTTTTCATCACTCCTTATTCGCAGGTCATAAGTGCAGAATGTGTTGATGGTCCTGCTATAGTTTTAACACGTGAGCATTATGAGGAATGCTTGGCTTCTTTTCCTAATGCTTTATCAACTAGAATACGTTTGTGCTTTAGGCAGTTCAGAAGCAATAAGGTGAAGCCTTTTGACTTGAGTAAATTACGTGGTTACTTTGATCAACCAATTCTCTCTTGTTTGAACTCCAAATCATTTCCTGGGGCTGATCCACTGGAACATGGCCTAGCTGGTGAAGAAAATGAAGAAGTGAGCCCAGATGAAAATGTAAAGTTGGGATCCAAGAGAACCAGGAGAAGTAGGGGGGGTGAAACATTGGTGACAGGTCATTCAGGAGTTGGAATTACTGGTAGCCGGATGATGACTTTTGAGCCTTCTTATTTCAACTTAAGAAATGCTATGTCAGGCAAAAGATTGCTTCCCCTCAAGCACGTTGAATCCCAACTTCGATGCAGTCAACTGTTTAAAGTTGATGAGAAGATTGAATTATTGTGCCAAGATAGTGGTATAAGAGGCTGCTGGTTTAGGTGTACAGTCTTGCAAGTGTCCCGAAAACAGATAAAAGTTCAATATGATGATTTAAGGGATGAAGATGAGTATGGCAATCTTGAGGTATGTGAGACATTATAAAGCACTCCCTGTAATAGTTTTCCATTCCACTTGATCCTTCTATAGAAGACTAGTAATGATTATGTCGCTCTGGAAATTTTCATCATGAAAATAAATGATTCCCATACCTGGTATCACATTTTCCAAGATTTGGAAATCAGGTTAAATGCAAAATTTTAGAAGCATGTCTTGTAATTCTAGGCACTTAAGGTTTTTATCATTGCTGCATCTTTATTTATTCATTTTTAGTCACTGAAATTTCATAAAATTAGTTCCATTCATCAGCATTGAAATGCAGTCCAGCTGATTCAGCTCAAATATTCTCTTTGCCTGTGACATTATTTACCTGCTATCTTATCTCCTAATTTTCTTTTGAGGTCTAAACTCTCTAGGAAAAGAAGTTTCACTTGGTATCTAATTTGTAGGAATGGATCCCAGCTTTCAAATTAGCGGTGCCTGATAAACTTGGCATGAGGCGCTCAGGCCGTCCAACAATTCGACCGGCACCTTCTGCAAATGAACAAACTGATCTTGCTCTTGAGATTGGCTCTGCAGTCGATGCATGGTGGAGTGATGGCTGGTGGGAAGGGGTGGTAACTGGAATCGATAGTAGCAATGATCATATGCTACAAGTTTATTTTCCTGGTATGCTTTTTCATCCCTTTCTACTATGCTTTTTTGTATTTTCTCTGTTCCCTTATTTGTACCATAAATTTCTGTGGTACTAGGTGAAAACTTCTTCTTGAGCATACACAAAAAGGACGCAAGAACTTCCAGAGATTGGGTGGGAAACCAGTGGATTGATATTCAGGCTAAACCTGACATACTTTCAGCTATATCTACATCCATTAGCCCAGACTCAAAAATGTCCATGTCTTCAACTGTTGCCAAGGACATGAAGCCTGATGACTTTGCTATGTTCAACACTGAAGTTCCTAATAGCACTGTACCCAATAACATGGAAGAGAAAAAGCCCGACATAGCTACATTAACCAGTACTGATAACATTGCAGAAGACATGGACTGTGATGATGATAGGAAGCCTCCAGTTTCAGATAACAAAGCCGAGGAGGATGGTGGTAGTGACATAAACATCGTTCATGATAAAAAAGATGAAGTTCAAGGTAACAATGATGTTGATGAGGTTGATAATGGTGTTAAAAAAAATGACGACAAGATGGATATGGAGGTGTTCGATACTTCTGATAAGAATTGTAATGCTATGGAGCTCATGGAAGTGACAGCATGAGATGTTTGAAGCAGGCTTGTATCGCATTAGCTCATGATTGTTGTGATGATACTAATACAGATAGGTTTCATTTGGTGGTCACTAGAAAGAGTGTCTGTAAATATTTAACATGAGGATTCTCAAAAACTTAATGCGCCATAACTGAGTTTGGTGTTCATAGGTGTACAGGAATCATATTAGGTATTTTTATTTTCTGTTGTAACTGTTGTGGTAATGATAATTGGGATTGGCATTGGCATTTGAATTCCTTCAGTAAGAAGCCCCTAATTGAGTCAGATCTGCCAAGTGGTTTCTCACTTGATTTGCTTCTTGCTTGTAATTTGTACTCTCATAATATTAAAATTACTTATATATTCTGTACTCCTTTCATGTGCTAGATCTGGCTTTTTAAATGGAATTGATTTTGCATTCACAAGTTTTACATATATAACTCATTGCAATGTTTTGCTCCTGTGCATGTTATAGAATTAGAAAAGAATAATAAATTGACTATCTTGTTTAACAGGGAAGAAAACTATATACATACACACACACATGTATAAATAAAAACTATAGTCTGAGCCATTGATGTCCATTTATGAATTGCATATCCAAGAACGGCCTTACTTCCTCGTAAGTGAAAGTCTTTGACCATGGAACTCTACCTCTTGTATCTGCTCCTCTTCCACTGCACATGTATTCCCCAAAAACCACAGTCCTGCAAATATGCAGATATTACAACTTTCAGTTAAAATAATTGCTTTAAATCTTTAATTTATAATCTTTTTTTATTATTTTCAAGGCTTTAAAGAGTTCTATTATACTTTTGCCTGTCTGGATAGTTCCAATCACTCCATCCTGAAGGAGTTATAATATTATCTATATAACAGTATGAATATATTGCTCTTGAATAGTTTCCCCAAGCTCTTCCCAGAAGAATTTTTCCAGTTCCATTGATAACACAGTTTACGAAGGAGAAACCCGAATCATCATCCGGGAAGTCCCTATGGTGAGCTGCAATTGCACCTGATCTTCTAGCAATTGATTGAAGTACACAATCCTGGTTCAAGAAAATCAACCTCAATATTGCACAATTTTAAAAGGAAAAAAGAAAAAAAAGAAAGGAAAAGATAAAAAAGCTCTACAACCTCAAAGAGTGATTTTCCTCTACCAAATATGAAATCAACACTTCCTTGAATGTGACATTGATAGAAGTAATGTGAACCAGTCTCATCCAATAGGGTGTCCTGTGTCCCCAATATTTTAACCCTATAAAAAAATGCCTTGTCACCAGAAACCCTTAATGCTACTGCCTGCATTCCATATCCTCCAGGTACTGCTACTACTGTATTCTGCCATTAACAACCGTCAAAATCCAAAATATACCTAAAAAATTATAGAATTTTCAATTCAATACCAAATTTATATATTATATTATTTCAATTCATTACCTCAAAAGTGATTCCAGTGGCACAAAAGTAATCAGATTCTATAGCCACTGATGCTGATCTATAGGTTCCCAGTGCAACTCCATTGCTATCTATATCAGAAGCTTTGTTGTTCCAAGAAATTATTGTATCAGAAATTTGGTTTTCATTTCCAATGAAGGAAATATATGGCTTGCTACTTGGTATATGAACTTTCTCTCTGCATAATTTTTCAATAGATCAATTGATGAAATGTCAATAACCATAAAAAGGTGACAGTCACCCTCCTAAGCTTGTAACTACCTCAAAATGACCACGTAGCTAAATTTTTGTGTCCACTTTAAAAAACAGCAAACACAACTGCAAAAAGGTGGAAACTTTGAAAAATCTGAATTTCCCGATTCTGTTAACTTCAAACAAAGAGGAAAATAAAAATTACATTTTGACGTATGTAAATACAAACCTGTAAATTCCTGGAAGAATGTAAATTTTCACTCTTTGTGTGTTATATTCAGGCACCATGTCTATAGCACCTTGAACAGTTAATGAATCACCTCCACCATTTTTGTCAACAACAATGATTCTGCTTCTATTATAACTATCTCTATAACTCAATCGTGCTCTATCTTCTCCATCCACTTTCATATCATCCCAACTAATAAAACCCTTTACATAAGCTTCACTTTGAGAAAAACCCATTTGACAGAAACAAAAAAAGGAAATGAAAACCGCCATTAAAACGCCAAGAACAGACATTTCCATCGTACAAAGCATCTGGGTGTCCCTATTTTTTTAGTATCAAAGAAGCCTTTTCGTTTGCCACCTTCTTTTTGTTTTGAGAGTTACAAGTTCTTATTGGAGTTGAAAGGGTGTGAGTTCATTAAATAAGGGGAGCGTTCTATAATGTGTAGTAGCATATGCCTTTCTAGTACTTAAGAACTTGAAATAATGACACTAACTAGAAGCAGCAAAGAGCATGCGGTGGTGGTAAAATGAATGCAAGGACAAGAACAAAAAATATCATTAGCTAGAGTTTGATGATTATCATAGCATTTAAAGAAATGGGAAACAGAAAGGGAAGGTCAGTCATGAAAGTTTTGCTAAGTTCAGAAGAAAGATTTGTGCTTTAATGGATAGTGTTTATTATGTTAAGTAGATGAAAAGGTGTTTGTTGATGGGTAGTTAAGAGAAATGTGAAGTAAAATAGCGGTTATTCTTTTGCTTGTAGCTGAAACTGACAATGAAAAAATTGGAAATGTCTATTAGATTGTGTTTACTTTTTCAAATGTGATTAGTGTATTTAAAGGGTGAAAATCCATTGTCACGAGAGTTGGCATACAACGGAGCATTTAGCATAATCAAGTTAACCATTTATCAATTATTAGGTAACTGCCTTATATCCCAAATTAAAGGACTTCTTTTAGAAGACAATTAAATTCCATTGTGATGTGTTTGTTTGTTTGATAAATTAATTAATTTCTGTTGTGGATAATCTAAAACCATTAAATTAATTATTCAAAGGAAAAAAGAATTTGTATTAGCATTTTAAAAGAATTATAATTCATTACCGAGCTATTTTGCTTCAGTCAATTGTCATTTATTGGTAAAAATTTAAGTAATAGGATGTAGGGTCTGTTTGTCAAAATTAGCTCTTTTGGTAGTTCTTAAATATTAGTTGTTTTAGTAGCATTTAATTGTTTTAACTTTTTAAAAAATGCTATGTTACTGAACATCATAATCTAGCATTTTGACAAAAAATTGTTGCCGAACACAGCCGTAACCTTCCAATTTAAAAATCTATATATGATTAATGACATGCAATTCAATAATATATATTATAAAATCTTCACTTCAATAGTAATTGTTCTAAACAAACTATCACTTGAAGTAGAAACATAAACATATGACTTATCTTTCAATTCAATACTATGAATATATGAGACATTAAAAAGTAAGTAGGTAACTGGATTTATGAATTTTCAAATTAAGTAGTTTCAACTACTTTCAGTATATATGTAAATGAATTTTTATTAATATCTTTAATTCTTGATATAGAAATGAACGGTGTATATATCTTTCATGAATCTCCTAGTATTTCTTGTAATTCAATTATTATTTTGGATATTAACTATAAATTAAGAAAAAAACAAATTTAAGTATATAATAAGAATTTTTTTTATATATTAAATTTCATTTAAAATTTGAGTTCATAATATTTCAATTTTAAAAGTAATTAAAGTACCTTAAAACTAAATCTCATTGTATATGATATTTTCCTGTCTGAGTAGAAATAAATATTTTCCAACAAAATTATTGAAAATTTGATAACAGTCAGTTACTTCTAGATTAATTATTGAGATTTTGAAATTCGGTTTATAATAGCTTTTACTACATTAAATATTTATTTATTTTGGTTCTATTAATTTGGGGCCTAGACCATCTCATCTTATAAAGCCCATCCAAACAAGGTCCATATAGTGATACTGAATTTGGGCCTAAGGAGCTGCCAAGACCCAATTCACAAAATGTTATTTTTTTAAAATTGAAAAATAATTGGATAATCCAACTGAATCGAAGGGGTTGCAGGAGCAGTAGTAGAAAGAGACTCTCAGGAAGAACGAGAGGAAGAGGAAATTGAAAATGGCGATATCTTCAATTACTACTACGCTAATCCCTTCTCTTGCAACTTCTTCTTCATTTGCTTCTAAACAACCAACACAAACAAAGCTCTTTTCTTCTTCTTCTTCTTCTTCTTCATCATTTTCCAATTCTGCTAACAGTGTTTTTAGCCTTCTAAAAATCTCATCTTCAACAATTAGGGTTTTGGCTGTCCCTGAGACCTTGGATTCTGCAGAACCTCTGGAAACACCCCCAGAAACCGTTGATGAATCTGACCCTGATACTTTTCAGGTCTGTTTCTCTTTCTTTAACTTGTTTTGTGTTTGATTCTTGAGAAAATATGGGAAAATGTAAGAGAATAAGGTAAATTTCTTGCTGGCTGTCTCAATTGTTGAATTTTCATCTTAAGTTATTCTTTTTCTTTCGTTTCCTGCTCAAATTGTATATTGGTTCTCATTAATAGTTAGTTACATTTTTCTCAATTTTATGCCAATATTCTGTTTGGCTGCCAAGAAAATTTGGGGAACGAATAGAAACTAATTACTGTAATTTATTCTCTTGTTAATTTTGTGTATCTACAGATTGGAGATTCTGAGACTCCTAGTTCTCCATCACTCAGCATTGGAGCAGATGCAGATAAGGTATATTCCTCATGACATATCGTAGGGGATATGATATGTATATTAATAGGTATATTATGCTTAAAGTATATGGGTGAAAAAACTAATGTTGGACCCCCCAAGCCTCTACTTAGTTCTGTCTGTAGTTGTAAGCATGCAAATTATAAAAAGCTATTCTCGTAATTTTTGTTACCTTAGACCAACACATACTTGTCAGATTCATGTGCTTGCGTACCTTTCTACAGAAGTTTTTTGATTTGTATGCAATACAATTCTTCAGAACTATGGATGCATAGTGGTTTTGCATATAAGATAGTTCACTAAACCTTGGAAATTGCCTGATTTTCTTGATTGTAGGCCATAATCTAGATAGATTTCCAATTTTTTTTCTAAGTTTTGATCATCGAGTCTGCTGTTGGTCATTATTATCTGATATGGGTTAGTTGATTGCCTTTCTGTGCTTCTTCAGTGTCCTTTTACTGGAAAGGACTTCCTTTCAAGTAATCATAGCTTGCCATGGTCCATTTTTGTGCCAAGACTTTGTAACTTTAATTTGAAAGGATATGGAAAACTCAAAATGTACGGATCCAACCATGGCAAATGGCTTGGCTTGCAGAGTTTGGAGTGTTTTTAGTTGCTGATAAAAGGCTGGAACTGTTTTTTCAATGATCATGGATTCATCATATTTTATGGGGCAGGTTATAGTAGATATCATTGTGTAATTATGAAATATGGTTTTCTGGTGGCCAAATCAACAGCTGCAGACCTTACAGCACTATTACAATGATATTTGACAACACCATTCTGATTCTTAATAATCATAGTATCTTTTTTTCATCTAGACGATTTCAACTATCTATTTACTTTTCTAATTGATATATTTGGACGAAACTTTTTATTTTGTTTTGCTATTATTTCTCCTTTTAGCTGGCTCCGAAGCAGAAAATTAGAATCAAACTAAGATCTTACTGGGTGCCCCTGATTGAGGACTCCTGCAAGCAGATAATGGATGCTGCTAGGAATACCAATGCAAAGACTATGGGTCCTGTGCCATTACCGACAAAGAAACGTATTTACTGTGTTCTAAAATCCCCCCATGTGCACAAGGATGCAAGATTCCATTTTGAGATCAGGACCCACCAACGCCTAATAGACATTCTCTACCCAACTGCTCAGACAATAGATTCTTTAATGCAACTTGACCTTCCTGCTGGGGTTGATGTGGAGGTGAAACTCTGAAAGAAGTAATGTTAAGATAGGTAAACTTCTTGATGTTTTCATACTGCTTTGAGCATGCCTTTTCTTTTCCATTGTTAATCTATTTTATGAAGCATACATAGCTAGTACTTGAGGAACACTTAACAACTTCTTTGCAAGTTGCTTGAGATAGGTTTTTTGGATGTTTTATGTAACTACTTATATGTATGCATGCATGCATGTTATGGAGACTACAAAGTTGACTGAGACTAGAGTACATATAATGTCTCCATTCAAATTATGCCTATTCCAATTGTCGGTCCTCTATATATGTTGTATTATTTTGAATTCAAATTAATGCACATCACATCCACTCTTAATGCATGCCCTTCTCTATCTCCTTTCCTTCTCAAAGAGCCATGAATTGCCTTTGACCTGTTTATGCTGAGATTAACAATTATGTAACATTATCAAAATTGACTTCCTCTTTTAAATTATTATTGTTTGGCAGTTCTGCTTTCAATTTCATGGTTCTAACGTATTTTGTGGCATATTGTTTTTGTCAGTGGTACCTTATTATTTGCCCTGAATTTTCTTGAGGCTTATGAAATGAAAAATGTCTATTTTAGGTGGTCTTTTTACTCCAAGAAGAGCGAGCTAGGGAAAATTGCTACTTCATTCAAGCTTGGGGAGGTGTTGCTTGAACAAGATCAGGAAACTCGTCTGCCTTGTCCTTGGAGATGTTTCAGGCATAGTAATATGGTTGGATGAACTGTAAACTAGGTTTCATGTGAAAAGCAACTAATGCTAGTCGGATTTTAGAATTGAAAGAGTCATATAGAGCTTCTCTATGTCTTCTTGGGTGCAATTTACAAATTGCAACATGAATGCTATAGTTTTGATCCCCTCCCTTTCATGTTGCTATTGCTGTTTTTTCCCCTCTATGGTAATGACAGGATATTTTTCCATTTCAAGAATATTGATAATATAATTAATTGCTACATGTTAAGTGGAAGAAGCTGTTTGTATCAAATTTCAGATCACGCAGAGCTGCATTCAGGAGAGATTTCAGACACTCATTTTCTGAATTTAATTGGGTTCAGTAGCTTAAAAGGCTAAGAAATATACAATTTAGGCTTTTTTTTTCTGAGTATTTCCACTCTTAATGGTTACCGAGACTAATTCCGTTTCGAGATTTATAAACTGTCCCTTTCTATACTTTTTCTTTTCCATTCAAAATCATCCGTTGAAATCAAATATTTTCTTTATTAGGTAGCTTTTACAACCGGAAAGACAAACAATAAATTCACCAATGCAATGTATACATTTAACACATTTTAGAATCTTCTGGCCAAGTTACAGCCTACTGGGCATGTCCAAGTTGGCAAATTGTGTCCATTATGAACTCTGAAATGTGAAGGAATGTGGTGGGAAAGTCAAAGTCGGCTGACTCTTCTTCTGTAGGTGGTCGGCTGGGTTTCATTTCATGTAGACGGCAGACCCCTTGATCGATCTCTTCCATTATTGAAAATTTCATTTTCAGTGCCTCTCCATCGTCTTGCCACATACAACAATCCAACCCGATAACAGTAAGTGGGCCAAATGTTGCCTAAAACCGATTCATATCTCACTTTCAGGAGAGTTTCACTCTCTCTATTATTCTTAGTTGTATTACTGTATCTCTAACAGTCTAGGGGTATTCATAAACCATGAGGAACCGCTCAAATCAATTCCAAATCATAATTTTAATTAGTTTGAAATCATGATTTGGTCTTTTGTAGGTGATTGTTGATATTTACTTGGTTTGTACACTTATAATTTTATATATATATATATACATTCTTATAATATTTAAAATACATATATGTATTTTTTCGCCTTGTCCTTCTCACTTATAAGAGGAGTGAGAAGTCTCGAGTTGTATCGTTTTGACCATAAGAGTTTTCGCCGTTTAAGCAAGTTAAGTAGAGAACTACCCCAATTATATAGCCTCCCAACAAATAAAAAAAATACTGAGAGTTTGTTTTGCAATGTACAATACCAATCACCGATATAAAGCTGCAGTATGTCACATAGTTTTACAAAAAAGATAGTTAAATTAGTTTAACAATAAGTTTTTCTATTTTTTATTATTAAAGCCTTTAGATATTGTATATTATTAACCTTGAAATTTTTAAAATAGGATGAATAATTAGTATAGTGAGTTTTTTAAATTAATTTTCAAATTTTTTTTCTTTTTTATCTCATAAATTTAACTAATATTAATTATTTATTCGAATTATTACAAGGTATTATGGAAAAAAAGCGAAAAGAAAAGAAAAAATATAAATGTGACGGAATAAATTATTCCAAATTGCTGACCTAGTGAAATGATTTCCTTTGTCTGCCTTTCAGTTATATAGATCCATTTTAGCTAATAGCTAATGATGGCGGCCACTGCATTTATAATTTTTTTTTCCCCCCTTAGGATGCATATGTTTTTATTTTTTATTTTTTTAAATATTAAATACTACAAATTTAGCTATATTTTGTGATTAAGCGAATTTAACAATTATAAATTACCATAAAATATATGATAAGACAGTCCAACTCAATAGGAGCAATATGAACTCATATGTAAATAGAATTAGGAATCATAGAAATTACAGGGAGATAATCAAACATGGACATTTGAGTGTTGAAACTTGAATATGCTTAAATTTTCAAACTAGGGGAATTATAATATTATAGAATATTCTACAGCATCTTCTTTCTTAATATCTTTTTAAATTGAATGGTTTATAAAGGTCCCTCCCAAAAGATTCCTATATCCACATTATGCACTTTTTTCTTGTAAAAGATTGGCTTTGGGTTTCCCTTTCTAAATCCTAAACATAACCTATGAGATGACAACACTAAGATCTTTGTTCAACTTAAAAAATTATTTTTGTTGTAATCATGTACATTTTATCTTAGCAGACAAATTTGAGAAAAAAAAAAACATTATTTGGTGCTAAAAATGACTAGTAAATTAAGAATTATATACATAAAAAAAGAAAGCTTTTAATCCTGAGTGGATCTACATATTCCAAGAATTGCTAATCAAAATTCTACATAGTATAATTGTTAAATGATAGCGGTGATATTTTTTATTTATGTATTAAATATATAGATAATTATGTATTAATTAAAATTCATGTATTTAGAAGATAAAAGTTTATCTTGATATTAATGTTACTAAATGCCTATATTAAAGTTTATGTTGATATTAATATTTAATCTAGATAAGTTGTAAGGAATTTGAAAATAATCAACTAAAAGTTTTTTATTATGTATCTACTACTAGAAATTCAATAGCATAATCTTAACATTCAATTTGTATTCCTAAATAATCTCATTTTTCAATTATTCAACTATTTCATTTTACTAAGTTCAATATTAGTCAGATTAGTCAACATAGAGTTTTTCTTCAAATATCTTTTTTTATAACCTTCTTCACTAAACTAAATTTAAAAAAAAAATTATACTGATCGATGTGAATTTACAGATTGAGCTGTAAATTATATATTTGCTTGAAAAAAAGTAAGTGTTTGATTAAATCAATCAAGTTAATTAAGGACTGAATTGTCGAATGATAATTAGCTGAGGACAGTGCCATCATGTGGTAGGATACAAACAAGTCAATGAAATAGAGCTATAAAATTGTTGGGATAACCTCCCAAGTTCAACACCGAATAAAAATGAGAAGAGGAATCAAAATATAATGGTTCAACCCAACTCATTAGTATGAGGCCTTTTGGAAGGTGTCCAAAAATAAATTCATGAGGGTTTAACCCAAAGCGGACAATATTATACTAATCCGGAATTGGGTAAGGTTACACGCGATCTCGACAAAAATATACAACCAAGCACTTATAGTACATAAGCAAATATGCAATGGATGGGTGGGTTTGTACTAATTCGTTTTCGTGTACCGCGAAAGGACGTAGGAGCCAATCTTATTACAAATAGGATACTCTCTTCTTGATGTGCATTAATAAAACACTAACTATAGCTAGTTGGCTACTATACATTGGCATCATTACTTGAAGGAAAACATTGTAATAAAGTGGCAATAGATGGAAAAGTGTATGGTTCAAGATCTTCACTGCTTGTGGTTGTCTCTATATCTCTCATAACTATACCACTTCGGTTTTGACAAAATTGTCATTTTTATGACTTCTCTATCCCAATCGTAAAATAGATATTTTCTTGTAGAAGAAAAAGAATATTGGCTATGCCTATGTTGGAAGAAATCAATTTAGATTAATTTAGATTCTCGAGCTGGCTTTTGATTTGACAAATCTTGTCTTTTACTCATCTAATGTAGTAATTCAAAAGTTCATTTCACCTCCATTTGTTTCTTATAAAATATTTTTTTAAAAAAATATTTAAAAAATATTTTTTCAAATAACTTATTTTTTATTATTTAATTATTAAAAATATTAATATTTTAATTTATTAACTATACAAATATTTAAAATTATAGAAACTTCATATTTTAAAAAGCATATAAAAATTAAAAATTACGATAAGGGCTACTATTATAAATATTTGAGAGATACATTTAAGTTTTATTGAAAAATAATCTTTGACTCATTTTTTTTTTCCGTTTTCTTTTATATATGCATCATTAAAAAGTTTAATAGATCAAAATAATATTATAAAAATATAAAAATGATATTTTTTAAATTTTATTAAATTAATTATAAATTTTATAATCAAAAGAATTCAAACTCACCGTTTTTCACTAAAAAAAAAAAAAAAAAAAATCACTAAAAAAAAAAAAAAAAAAAAGCAAGATAAATACACTAATCAAGCCACTTTAAATGTTTAGGAGATTTTCGACCTTCCACGAGCTTCGAACAACGTGAATATCTCTAGACATTCAGCAATTCGAAAGGCATAAAAGAGACATTGATGCTGGTCCTTACCAAATACAAATTCTGGTTCACTTTGTGTGCTGACTTCTCAAGTTTCAGTATTTACAAATCTAAAAAAAAAAAAAAAAAAAAGCAAATAACAACAATCAAGCCACTTTAAAGTTTAGGAGATTTTGACCTTCACGAGCTCGAACATACGTGAAGAACTCTAGACATTCAGCAATTCGAAGAGGCAAAAGAGACATTTGATTGCTGGGTCCTACCAAATACAAATTTGGGTTCACTTTGTGTGGCTGACTTTCAAGTTTCAGTATTACCAAATCTCTTTCTTTTATCTCCAAGTTCCCATTAACACTGCGCTTTATTCCTTAATCATCCTAATAATATACTACTGCTTAATTAATTTTCTGATTGAATATCAGCCGTCCAAACAGCGTAACTGCATTTTTATATTGACAACTTGACAACTTGAGATGCGGCGTTTCGACCACTCCATGTCGACTAATGAAGGGGGCCACCACTTGTTTTCCCCAAAGGTACCATAAATCTTCTCGCTTCTAATTTCTATCTAGCATAAACTTATTTTATATATATACATAGCCACATAAATAGTTCGTTGAAGTATAGTTTAATTTTCATTTTTAGGATGAAATTGATTTTTTTTTTATTTAAGCTGTGTTCGACAACAATGTTTCATATAATATTTAATATTTTAATAAATCTATTATTTATAGTGTTTGGTAACACAATTGTTATATTAATGTTCAGAGTTTGAGAGAAAAAATTATAAAATATTACTCATGTTAATCTTTGATAAAATATTAATAAAACAAATGATCAAAAGAGTGAAAATACGTTTTCAAATAATTTCCTTTGACAATTGGGATAACCATAATGTCGTCAACTAGATGCTAATAATTAAAGGATTAGAACTTTAATTTATGCTCCAAATAATTTCAATCCAACCAAATTGATGCAAACTTAAAATTGATACTACCACCGTTTCATAATATTTGTCACATTTGAGAAAATAGTTTATTTTAAAATACTTGTCATATTTGTAATTTCAAAGAATAATAATTTTTTTTCATATTTACCCTTGTATACGATCAATAATTATTTGGTGTTTAGATATAGGAGTATTAAATTAAGACTAATATAGTCAATTTATTCAATAATTTATTATAATTTAAATAAATTTAATGATTTTTTCAAAGGACGTGAAATTCCAAACATCACGAGTACTATGAAATAAATATAGTATTTTAATTTTATTTTAAATTTTAAAAAACTAAACGGTGGGTTTTATTTATGTTTTGGTAGTCAGAACTACCAAACAAGAAATATAAATATTAATAAATAATGTAATAAATATTGTTCATAATATTTTTTACTTATTATAATACATAAGTGTTAAAGTAATTAATTATATTAATTGTATTTAATTTTAAACTTTAAAGCCATAAATTTCTTACATGTTTATATACAAAATTGATTGAAGAATAGCTCTTTAAAATTAAATTGTAAGAACAAATGTTGCAAAATTTCAAAAAAAAAAAAAATGCACAAGATAATTAAATGCAGTTAATTTTATACGTAATGTAAGAATTAATTGAAAGTATTAATTTCTCTTTTTTTTATTTGTTTTAGATGAAATTGAGGAACTAAGTTCAAATATTGAGCAAGATCTAAATAACAACAACAATAAAAACTTTGGTTTTTCTTCTTCCAAACCGCTCGAGAGTCGAATTAAATCAAATTCATTTACAAATTTATTTGATTTGAATACTTTTATGATTTGATTAGGAAAAATCTTCTGAACCGAATCAAATCTAACCATGAATACCCTTTCTAATCACAATATTTATCAAATACTTTTGCCAAGATGATTATCCAACTTGCGATTCTGCACATTAACATAAAAAACCGGACTCGTAACCGAAGAATCTAACCCAGCCACAACAATATGTTTGGCTCTCTTTTTTCAGCCCTGCAAGTTCAGATTTGGGCAGAGTTTAGTGCTCAGTTGGACCGATGTTGGCAGAGTTGATTGTGGAAGCAGGGATCAGGTGCTTTTTTGGCAGTTACCATCCCTAACTGTTCCAAGACGTAATCAATTACATAAGTGCTTCCGTTCAAAGAATTCAACGGCGGCGTATAACTTCACGGTAACCAATACCTAGACGGTCAAATTTATCTTACCTTTTTCGTGTCTTTCAAATATTAAAATCAATGTGGTGACTCCACACGTCATCACTAACGTCACGTTGTCTGTCTGTCACTGTTACGCGTCAAAGTTGTGACTTGTCCCACAACAAAACGCTTACTAGCTTATTAGAATTGGATTGAAGAAGATGACGTCGTTTCAGTATAACTGTAATAATTGCGAACTGGCAAAGGGTTTAGAAGAATAAAATATTTCTATGGAGATATTTATCGAAAAATAATAATTTACTTTGATGCGACAAAAAAACAGTAATGAAAATAATTTGATACATATATTTAATATTTTTATATTAAAAGGCCAAATTGATAATGGCTGCTTAATAATGATAATAATAATAATAATAATAATAATAAAGATTCCTTCTCTTCCAACTTTTGAAAAGAGAATATGATAATTTATAATGTTATGTGCATATAACTTTGAAAAGGAATTTATAATGCTTCCATGGCAATTCTTTTGAATCCCTCATACATTATAGATAATATTTTTAAATATATATAAACCTTAGACCTCACTTTATTTAATTAAGTTGTATCTCCCTCTGCTAGAATATTATTTTTACATTATGGTTGTTGAATAATTGAACATTTTATGTTTTCATCTTTAATCTTTTTAGCATCTTGAAATCATTCTTTTTTTTTTTTTTTTTTTTTTTTGAGAATAAGAGTTAATACATTAAAATAAAATAAATTTGTGTCTTCGTGCGTGTGAGAAAGGTATGAAACGGATCTATCATAGTCGTTTATCAATTTTTTCTTTATATTATATAGACTTAGATTGAGTTCACTACCCATTTGCTTGTTCCTACGTTTCCAAAAGGAAAGTATCTAATTTTGGTCCTGATTGTTTTATGTTTATATACCTACTGAATTAGGGGTCGCTGTACTCATTTTTTGAACAGGAATTGTTAGTTCGGAATCAGTTGAAACAAAAATCGAAATCAAAACCTTATAGAATTGGAACATGGGAGGTTGCAGTTTGATTCCGATTCTAAATTTTTTAAAACAATGAACCGATCGAAATGGAAGATTTTGACAATCAGTTAGAATCAGTGGTTTCAATATTTTTTTTTCAAAATTTTTTATTAAAATTTCTAAATTAACTCTTCTAATAATTACTAATGATTATATAATATTTAGTTATATTAAGAATATTTATGCAAGTTAAAATTTTTTTATTTTAAAATTATACGAATCACCTAGAAAATGGATCAGAAAACTGTCCAAACGGTTAAAAAACTAGAATCGGAACCTTATCTGAAATTGCAGATAAGGATTGAATGTCTTCTCCTAACGTGTGAAACACGATTATTCACTGTAGTTGGTCAATAATGGAGTTGCTCCTCTATGTCCTAGTATCTATTTTCCCATCACTGTTCGTCACGCAGCGACAAGAAACATATTAGCTTCTAAAATCATGTTAAACAACTAATTAAATACCAAGGAAATCCAAATTACTATGCCAGTACTATTTTCTTTTCTTTTCTTGTATTTTTCCTAATTTCTTTATAAGAGACAAAAAAAAAAAAAAAAAAAAAAAAAAAAAAAAACTTTCTCTCAGCATCTTTTTATACAATTTAAAATCAATTCTAAAATTTTCAATTCTTGGCAATTTTTTATTGAGCCCTTTAAAAAAAAAAAAAAAAAAAAAGAAAAACTTCTCTCCAGCATCTTTTATACAATTTAAAATCAATTTCTAAAATTTTCAATTTTGCAATTTTTTATTGAGCCCTTTTATTTTTTATTTTTCTTGTTACATTGAAATCCAATTTAATAAACTTAAGGACTTAGGCAACTAGACAAGACGTGTGTGCCTATGAAATATAGTTAACGTGGGAGAACGAGTCATTTAGGGAAAGAAATAAATACGAATAATTTATCAATTATCGATGAAGAATATTAAGATATGATTATAAATATTTTTTTTAATTAAAGAATTCGAGTTAAAATTTTGATTATAAAGTAATTATAAAATTTGACAGGGAGCGCTGTACCCTTTTATGGGCTTTTATTTTATTAAAAATAATAAATGATTTAAGATTAAGTTTCTCATTTTTAAAAAATAACAACCGAAAAGTTTTAAAAAGAAATTAAGTGTTTATATTTAAAATAATAAAAAATATATAAAGATCCAAAAAATAAAAAAAAATAAAAACATCAAATTAGCACCACCGTTTAATTTAAGAGTAAAAAACTTAATGTTTTGCTTATTTTTTTATATAAAATATGATAAAACAATTACAAAAATCTAACTTTTATGTTTTAAATTTGTTTTAAGTTAATTGTTTCAATTAAATATCAGTTAAGCCCTAGCTTAAACCAATGATAGTTACCCCCTATGGAAATAGAAGCGTAAAGAACGTGGTTAGTTGACAATGCAGGTTGGAAATGTGGAAGAGCTCTAAAAGGTTTAATTTCCATAAAATGCACTTATAGGGAAGAGTGATGAGTTTTAACTGTGACTAAATTTTGAGCTAATTAAATGGTCATTGATAATAGAGTCTGGTTACCGGTGATTTTAAAAAAAAAATTTGTTAAAATTTATTTTAAATTGTAGTTTGTAACCTTTACACTAAGAATTTGTTACAATACTTTCTTTCTTGCATGTATTGCCAAATTCATCCAATGAAAGTGACTTTCTCCTTTACCCAAATTGCTTTGCTTTCCTTTTTCAATTGCTTGCAATATATTTAGTTAATTTGTCTTAATTATATTTATATATTAAATAAATTAATTATAGAACCGTTAATTTCTTTTAATTTTTTATATATAAATTGAATTAAGCGAAAACCAACAGTTTTTAACAATTTTGATATATATAGTTAGATTTGTTAAATTAACAATTCATATAACACAATTTGAAATATTTATTTTAGTATTTTGTATTGTTATTTATATTTATACATAATAAATTAAAAAAAATCTAATGGTGGGAGAGGCACTGTGATCATGTGCACTTCAATTATTATACGTTTTTGTGGTAGATATCGAGTGTTTGTTTTGTGTGTAAAATGTATAAAATATAAAAATTTCAATTAAATTTTTACGAGGAAATATTGCGTGTGAGATAGAACACCAAAACTTTGACAAGGCTGCTTTTTACACTCGTATCAAATCAAAAATTATATATATATGTGAAGATGCAAGCAAACACGATTGCGTGAACAAAAATCCATATCTTATTATTCTTTAGTTATCCGATATCCACTAAAAATTTTCCCTAGAAAATCTCATTTTCCATGAAAATTCCGGTCCTTACACCTCTATATAAAGCTTCTTCTTCTCCTTTTTCTCTCAGTCTCCGCAGAAGTTTCATATCTCAGAATCCTCTTTCTTCTTCTTCTCCGATTTGCTCCCTACCAAAGCATCTAGAAAGTAATCCCATGGCTGCTTGTGTTGACAAGCCCAGAACAGACACCTCTCAACTTTCTCGCGATCCAAACAGGTCTAAAACTGACGATAGTGCTTACAACTATGTAAAATTTTTTCGACCCAGTTTCTCCGACAGCATTTCATGCAAACCCATTTGCAAGAATCAAATAAAAACTGTGCACTCACGTTCGCTTGTTGAAGATGTAGAACCGGAAAGCGAGATTAAAGAAGATCCATGGCTTAAAATGCACGAAGAAGCCAGATTAGATGTGGAGCAAGAACCAATTTTATCAAGCTATTACTTCACCTCCATTTTTTCTCAGAAATCATTAGAAAGAGCATTGGCAAGTCATCTCTCAATAAAGCTAAGTAATTCTACCCTTCCTAGTAGTACTCTGTTTGATATTTTTAGTGGGGTTCTTGAACAAAATAAAGACATAATTAGTGCTGTAAAGGAAGATTTAAGAGCTGTAAGAGAAAGAGACCCAGCTTGCATAAGTTATGTTCACTGTTTTTTAAGTTTCAAAGGATTTTTGGCATGTCAAGCTCATAGAATAGCACATACCTTATGGACACAAGGTAGAAAGGTCTTGGCTCTGTTAATACAAAACAGAGTATCTGAGGCATTTGCAGTTGATATCCATCCAGGAGCAAAAATTGGGCAAGGGATTTTGTTCGATCATGCAACTGGATTAGTTGTTGGAGAAACAGCAGTAATTGGTAACAATGTGTCAATCTTGCATAATGTGACATTAGGAGGTACTGGTAAGATTGGTGGAGATAGGCATCCAAAAATTGGTGATGGTGTTTTGATTGGGGCAGGGACTTGTATTTTGGGTAATATAAAGATTGGTGAGGGGGCAAAAATTGGGGCTGGTTCAGTCGTGTTGAAGGATGTACCGCCTAGGACTACTGCAGTTGGAAACCCAGCCAGATTGATTGGAGGAAAAGAAAATCCAGTTAAGCTTGACAAAATGCCTAGTTTTACTATGGATCATACTTCACATATAAATGACTGGTCTGATTATGTTATTTAAAGAGAAAATTCTTATTCAGAGTTCCTTTTATGCCTTTTCTTTTTTTGGTGGGTATTTGTCTTTTGAAAGTTCTCAACTTTTTCATTTATGTTGTGAGAACTGAAGTTCTCCTACTAGAAAACAGAGCAAACAGAGGAAACGGAGCAGAGCTCTGTTCTAATCTTACCTAGTTATATATGTATTTGCCTTGAGCGAGTATTGTAATACTACTTCTGTGCTGTACTCATAAACAAAATGAAATTAATGCTGTTATCGCTCAATTTGTCGACTCCAACTAGCTTGGCTCTAAGGCTTGCTTGTTGATGTTGATTTACTTTCTGCCATTTGTGTGGGGTGAGATAGATAATGCGTAGTGTGAACCATAGCATTGAATTTTTCAATTTGTTCTATAGATGCAGCTACTGGTCAGCCCCATCTTTTGCTGCAAATGGCCAGCCAGCTTTATCTCAGGATTATAACTTTGAAGTTAAATGATAAAACAATTATTTAAGGATGGTGTTCCAAAGAAAGCTTTTAAAAATTTTAATGAAGATTAAGGAAGGGATTTGATATAATTGCAGATAAGATGACAAAAATGCGAATCATATTGTGTATCAGTAATATATCATATTTGTGTTCTCTCACTTATTTAAATTTGAGCAAATTTTCACGTGCTATATGAAAAGTAATCTCTCGCAGTGCTAAACAAATAAACTCAATTCTTGAAGTTGAATACCTGGACAAAGTAAATGGCACTGTTTATGGATTGACTCGATGAAATTCAATTGAAAGAGGGTATTTCTGATTATATCTTTGGAAAAAAAAAAAAAAAAAAAATAACTAAAATAAAAAATAAAATAGACCATCTGTCAATATAAGTGTGAACCTACGGTTCTTTGCTTTACGAACTAATATTTTTCTTATCTATACATTAACTTGCCATGTCCATATGTAGGAGTTCTATGCTCGCCACTAATATAATTCTTATTGCATTTAGTTAAGAGCTCACCTGTAAAGATTATACTAAATTTATTTCATATCTTTGAAAAAAAAAAAAAAAAAAAGATAAAGAAGGAACGCTGTTTAGAAAATTTTTTATTTCATTTATTTGGTCCATAATTGAGGTCATGATCAGACTAGATAAATTTTTTTCATTTAGTTAGAGCTACGAGAAGATAAATTTTTTTCATTTAGTTAGAGCTATGAGAAGATACCTGTATAAGGAACTTGTAGGGAATGCAAATAAAGTTGTCACGTGCCAATACAACAGTGTGAGCATATCTAGGAATTACTTTGTAATTATGAGATTAATTTATCTAGATGGAGTCTATAGTTTCAAATATGGACCAAATCAATAAAAATAAAAATTTTTATTAAAATAAGAATATTTTTGACCGATGCATAAAAAAAAATAACACGTGGGTAATGAATCCGATTTAGACAAGTATAATTCTCTAATTATTGTTGCAAGCTATCTCATAATGAAGCCAACCTAATTAAGAGGCACATTTTAGGATTGAGCTCAGCCGGCGGGTCCTGGGTCAAGAGCAACTCTAGTAGTGAACAATTTTAATGTTCATGGGCTTTTTAGACTGAGAGAAACTGGAATACAAATATAAAGTTTATGGGCTTTTTAGACTTGGGCTGGGACCCATTTTAATGAGATCAATGTTCAAAAAATTTTTTAAAAAAATATTAAGGGTTGACTTGGTCATGGGTCCTGTGCAGCCATATTTCTTTAGTCGGTTGGAACTTGAAAGAAGGAAGAAGTAATAAACCAAAGAAATATAGCCGCACAGGATTAATTAAAATTATGAGAATATTCCTCATCTTTAATCCTTTAATTAATCATAATTTATATTTTTCTTGCATTAAAAAATGAGATTAGGAAAGACAATGGAAAATAAACTTTGATAGAAAATAGTTTTCTGTTTTTTTCAAATTATTTTATGATAGAAAATGATAAAATCATATACGTCCAACAAACTAAATATATTAGTCAAAAAAAGACAGAAGCGAAGAAAGGGCTCATAAAAATAACTACAAAATGTACTATTACACTTAATTTCCATCCATAGTTTTCAAGCTTCAATTTCTGTAGCTGGTCATGCTCATATCATCAATAAAGGAAGTCAAGAAAGGCTGTTCTCTCTCTCTCTCTCTCTATATATATATATATATATACATATATATGAGGATGTGAAGCATTTCTATACATGTCCATTTTCAAAATGGATTTGCAGCAATTCCTATCCTTACCAATTCTATTCACTTCTTTTTTCTTCATTTTTATGGTACTGAAAATGTGGAGAAAATCAAAAACCAAAGAAGCAACAAAAAATCTTCCACCAGGACCAAGAAAGCTACCAATTATTGGAAACATTCACCAACTTATTGGCTCTCTACCCCATCATTGCCTAAGAGACTTGGCAAAAAAACATGGAGGCATTATGCATCTTCAGCTTGGTGAAGTTTCTAATATAGTTATCTCTTCTCCTGAAGCTGCAAAAGAAGTGATGAAGACTCATGATATTGTCTTTGCTCAAAGACCTTTTCTTTTAGCTGCAAGTATTATAAGTTATAACTTCACAGACATTGCTTTTTCACCATATGCAGATTACTGGAGACAGCTGCGAAAAATCTGCATACTCGAATTGCTAAGCGCAAAACGCGTGCAGTCATTTAGGTTTATTAGAGAAGAAGAAGTATCAAACTTGATTACTGCAATTTCTTCTTCTTCAGGAAAGGCATTCAATTTTAGTAGGAAATTGTTTTCTTTAACTTATGGGATTGCTGCGCGAGCAACTTTTGGCGAGAAATGTGAAGATCAAGAGGAATTTATACCAATTGTTGAGGAAATTACAGAAGTAGCAGGAGGATTTAGTCTTGCAGATTTGTTTCCTTCTGTTAAGTTTCTTCATTCGATTAGTGGAATGAGGTCTAGACTCATTAGGCTGCAAAAAGAAGCTGATAGGGTGATTGGAAATATTATTGATGATCATAGAGCAAAGAATAAAACAGGAAAGGTTGGTGGCGAAGGCCAAGATGATGATCTTGTTGATGTTCTTTTGAGGCTTCAAGAGCATGGAAATCTTGAATTTCCGTTGACGACTGATAATATCAAGGCAGTCATCCTGGTTAGTGTTTTTCTTTTCGGTTAATTAATTAGGTTAAAGCTCGTAATTTTGTTCAGGGATTTTGAGCCAAAGCTCAGGTGATTTCTGTTTATAGATATGCTTACTTGTGTTATAATTCTATTTCAGGATATTTTCGTTGCGGGTAGTGAGACATCATCAACAACAGTAGAATGGGCGATGTCCGAAATGCTGAGGAATCCAAGAGTTATGTACAAGGCACAAGAAGAGGTGAGAAAATTGTTCGATAAAAAGGGAAATGTTGAGGAAACTGATCTTCAAGAATCGAAGTACTTGAAATTAGTTATTAAAGAAACTTTGCGATTACACCCTCCTGCTCCTTTGCTGCTTCCAAGAGAATCTACAGAGAAATGTGAGATTAATGGCTATGATATACCAGAAAAATCCAAAGTAATAGTGAATGCGTGGGCGATAGGAAGGGATCCAAATCATTGGACTGAAGCTGAGACATTCTATCCTGAGAGATTTCTTGATAGTTCAATTGATTATAAAGGGAATAATTTTGAATTTATCCCATTTGGTGCTGGAAGAAGGATGTGTCCTGGCATACTATTTGGTATAGCTAACGTTGAGCTACCATTAGCACAGCTTCTATACCATTTTGATTGGGAACTTCCTAGTGGATTGAAGGCAGAAACTTTAGATATGATTGAGAGTTTCGGCGCCACAGTTAGAAGGAAAAATGATCTACACTTGATTCCAAATCCATATACACCGTCTTCAGCTTCTTGATTGAAGTCACTAAATAAGAAAATAGCCTTTGATGTTCATCTTTTATCAGCTAATACATGTATAATTGTACTGTAGTTATCCACATACTAGTAGCTTCTGTGCAATTTTCGAATTTTGCAGAATAAAATTGCATTACTCATGGAAATATGCAAGGTAGGAGTAACATATAATATTGATCGAGTACAAATATTTTCCAAGGAAATTGCCAATTGTTTTCTAGCACACAGATATGAATTTTGAGTAAAAGACAGTCAACCTTGGCACAGTCGGTGGTCATATCTGGTTGCTGTTATATAATAAGCTTTCAAAACCAAATTCCACAAAGCAGAGAAATTTAACCCAGATATGAATCATCTTTCTTTGTTTTGCAGTCAGTCAACCGTTAATTGATATCATTTCTGCCTTGCAGACAGTACACTCTATCAGCATAGTAGAATATAATTGCAGTCAATGGTCATATTTGGTTGCTCATTTTAATTATAATATGCTTCAAAGTCGCAAGTCCAAGTAAGCAGAGATATTCTAATACATATATAAATCATGTCATAATCAATTATGTCACAGTAGATTGCAAAATCCAAATAATTAGTGAAAGAAATGCTTACTAAAATCTTATCAAACAAGAAGTCAAACAAAAGAAAAAAGAAAAAGGTTGCATATACAACAACAACAAAAACTGGATATTGAGATGCAATTTCATCAAATTGACATAAAAATGGAGCTCCAAATCCTTTCCCTTCCTTTCCTTTTAACTTTCTTTCTCTTCATCTTTATGGCATTAAAAATAAGGAAGATATCAGAAAGCAAGAAGTTGTTAAATTTACCTCCAGGGCCACTGAAGCTGCCTATAATAGGAAATATACATAATTTGGTTGGCTCTTTACCCCATCATCGCCTGCAAAACTTGGCCAAGAAATATGGTCCTCTTATGCATCTTCAGCTTGGTGAAGTTACAACAATCGTTGTTACTTCGGCAGAAATTGCTAAAGAAGTTATGAGAGCTCATGATATAGTCTTTTCTAATAGACCTTCTATTCTTGCTGCGAATATCATCTCTTACAATGCTACGAGCATCGTGTTTTCACCCTATGGAGAGTATTGGAGACAGCTAAGGAAAATTTGTGTATTGGAGCTATTAAGTGCTAAACGCGTACAATCATTCAAATCAATCAGAGAGGAAGAAGTATCAAACATTGTGCGACGCATTTCTTCCAGTTCAGATTCTTTGATCAACCTCAGTAGAATGTTATTTTCTTTGACTTATAGTATCACTTCAAGAGCAGCATTTGGTAAGATTCGAAAAGAACAAGAAGCATTTATACCACTTGTTGAGGAAATTATAGAGGTTGGAGGTGGTTTTAGTATAGCTGATTTGTTCCCTTCTATTAAATTGCTGAATAGAATTAATGGAATGAAATCTAGAGTGGAAAGATTGCATCAAGAAGCAGATAAGATACTTGAGAACATCATCAATGAACATAGAGCTAGTAAAGCAAGAGCCAAGCCAGGTAGTAAAGGTGAGGCTGATGATCTTGTAGATGTTCTTCTGAATATTCAAGAACAAGGGGACCTTGGATTTGCTTTAACAACCAATAACATCAAAGCAGTCATCCTGGTTAGAATCTTTTTCTTGTTTCCTAGTTTAATTGTTCATGTTTCATGGACATCGATTCTTTTAGTCGTAAACTAATTAATATGATTTTTCTGTTTAAGGATTTGTTTATTGCTGGAAGTGAGACTTCATCTACAACTGTAGAATGGGCAATGTCGGAGCTGCTGAAAAATACAAGTGTGATGAAAAAGGCACAGGCTGAGTTGAGGCAAGTCTTTAAGAACAAAGGGTATGTTGATGAAGAAGGTGTTTGTGAATTAAATTACTTGAAGTTAATTGTTAAAGAGACTCTAAGATTACACCCTCCTGTGCCTTTGCTCGTTCCAAGGGAAAATAGTGAGCTTTGTGAGATTAATGGTTATTTCATTCCAGTAAAATCTAGAGTGCTTATCAATGTCTGGGCCATTGGAAGGGATCCGAATTATTGGAAAGAGCCTGAAAGATTCAATCCAGAGAGATTTCTTGATAATTCAATAGATTACAAGGGTTCTAATTTTGAATTTATCCCATTTGGTGCTGGAAGGAGGATATGTCCAGGAATATTATTTGGTATAGCAAATGTTGAGCTTCCGCTTGCAAATTTGTTGTACCATTTTGATTGGAAACTCCCTGGTGAAATAAACCCGGAAAATCTAGAAATGACAGAGGCCTCTGGGATTGCAGTTAGGAGAAAAAACGATTTGAATTTAATTCCTATTACGTTCCCTTCTGTCCTTGTAGCATAAAAATTGCAACGAAGTCATGTCATCAAATGGAGAAACTCTTATAGTTTCTCCCTGTGGCGTAATAATTACTGTTTAGAATTGATAACGCAAACCAAACACAAACACTTTATGCACTTTTTGGAAAGTTGCACTTTATTAATCTACTTACCCCCAACCAAACATCACCCTAGTGGTAATTGTAAGCAAAGAAAGTGCTATATATTGTTTTTTGGCTGAATGAATAATTTCTCCGAACTATCCTTCCTTAAATTGCTATTTTTGCTAGTCAACTTTGCGGAGGACCGCTTGTGCCGCTTGAATTGAAGTCTTTGTAACTTTTATGCCCCTAAGCAAATTGAAGATTTTGCATGAAATACACACGTGTTAACATGTCATAAGCAGTTGATTTGTCATCAAATTATCTGCCACGTTGGTTTCCACATGTACAAAAAATAACAAGAAAGAGAAAAAGAGAATAGTTTGGTAGTTTCGATTGAAAAAAATTGAAAATAAAAATAAAAATTGAATATCCAAAATCATATCAAGAAAAAAAAAATAAAAATTGAAAAAAAATCATACAAACTCATGTTAGTAGTTTTGATTTCATTAACCATAAAATCATTAGAAAAGGTGGGTTTGATTTTGAAGAAGAAGAAGAAGAAGAAGAAGAAGAAGATAGATTTGTTAAGAGAATGAGAAGGAGAAAAATAGAGAGAGAAACTGAGAGAAGAAGAGCGAGATAGCGAGAGAAATTGAGAGAGAGGATGAGAGATGAAGTTGGAATAATTTTAAGAATATAAAACGATGTCGTTTTTGCCACGCTGGACAAAATTTAAGGGGTTCACGCTTTTATTTACGTTTGAGTTCGCATAATTCTTTTTCCAGGTGTCAAGGGGCACAAGCTACAAAAAATGAAATTTAAAGGACACAAGCGGTCTCTCATAAAGTTGAGAGACACAAATGACAATTTGAGGAAAATTCAGAAGGAAAATTATGCATTCCACCGTCGTTTTTTATCAAGCAAGAATACTTGCTGTGCAAGTGAGAAATTAAAAATTGGCTAGTCAATTGTGCTACTAATTCAATTGCATTAATTGACTTTCATTTTATTATTGTTGTGGATTATTTGAACCTGAAGAAGAAAAATATTAGAAACAAGACCAGATGGCAACAAATTAGAAGAGTTAAATATTATATATGTTGCTTCTATCAAGCAAGAGTAGTTGTTGTAGAAGTGAGAATTAAAAATTGGTTAGTCAAATGTGCTACTAATGTAATTGCATTAATTGACTTTCATTTTATTAATGGTGTGGATTATTTGGACTATAAGATTAGAAGAGTTAAATATTAACTATAAGATGAACTGATTTTGTCTTTTTTTTTTTTTTTTTTTGTAGAGATATTAAAAATGTTAGTCAAATGTGCATCATAATGTAATTGGCAATAATTTGACTGTTCATTTTTTATTAATGAGTGGTGGATATTTGGACATAAAGATATAGAGAGTTAACAATCATTACTAATAAAGAATACTGATTTATATGTCATTATTTTTTTTTTTTATCCATAAAATCGCGAGTCTTATTATAATGTGTTTTTTTTTTTTTTTTTTTATCATAAAACTCAGTCTTAATTTAATGGCTATCATTGAGATTTTGTAATTCAAAAAAAGAAATATTTAAATAATGTGTATCTTAATGAATAGTACAGAGCTCCATCCTGACGCAGCTCTCTCTCTATATATATGTTGTTAGCTATTATCAAATCCAACAAATCTTTTTATCACTCTCTATTTTAACTTTGCCATGGAAAACCAACTCTCCTTTCCATTTGTTTTCACTTTCTTAATCTTTATAATTTTCTTGTTCAAGTTATTACCTAAAAAATCCAAGTCTCTAAATCTTCCACCAGGGCCGTCGAGCCTACCTTTAATCGGCGGCTTCCACCATTTATTTGGTGCACCACCTCATCACTCTTTAACCAACCTAGCTAAGAAATTCGGCCCTATTTTTCACCTGCAACTCGGGGAAAATTCTAATATTGTAATTTCTTCTGCAGAAATGGCAAAAGAAATTATGAAAACCCATGATATAATTTTCGCTGATAGACCTTTTATCCCTTCTGCTTTTAAATCAACTTATGATGGAACAGATATCGCTTTTTCTCCATATGGAGACTATTGGAGACAATTACGAAAGATTTGCACGACAGAGTTGCTAAGTGTTAATCGTGTGCAGTCGTTCAGATCAATAAGAGAAGAAGAAGTATCAAAATTAATAAGCTCGATTGCTTCTAGCGCTGGATCTGCAATAAACCTGAGCCGAATGATTGAAACTTTAATGTTTAGTATTATTTCGAGAGCGGTTTTTGGTAAAGTATGTAAAGGAGAAGAAGTATTTGTGCCAACTATAAGGAAATTAACTGAAGCGACTACTGGTTTTAATCTTGTTGATTTATACCCTTCTAATAAATTGCTTCAAAGAATGAGTATTGGGTTGCCTATAATAAAAAGACTTCATTCAGAGGTAGACAAGATAATCCAAGACGTGGTTGATGAGCATAGAGCTAGAAAGCAAGCTGGAAAAATTGTTGCAGAAGGTAGACAAGATAATCCAAGACGTGGTTGATGAGCATAGAGCTAGAAAGCAAGCTGGAAAAATTGTTGCAGAAGGTGAAGAAGAAGATCTTGTCGACGTCCTTCTGAATCTTTTGGAGAAAGGAGACCTCGACTTCTCTTTGAGCACGGAGAACATCAAAGCCGTCATTTTGGTTAGCTCTCTTTCTTTTTTCTTTATAGGTTTTCCCACGTACATATAATAGTTGTCGTTAAAACTAATTTTAGCTCTCTTTCATTTTGGTCAGCCTTATTTTTTTGATTTACTCAAGTTAATTACGAAATGTATTTCAGGACATGTTTATTGCGGGCAGTGATACATCTTCTACACCAATAGAATGGGCAATGTCAGAAATGATGAAAAATCCAGAAGTGATGGAAAAGGCACAAGCAGAGGTGAGACTAGTCTTTGAAGCAAAAGGGGACGTGGATGAAGCAAGTCTCAACGAACTCAACTACTTAAAATTGGTTATAAAAGAAACTTTGAGACTACATCCTCCTGTTCCATTATTAGTTCCAAGAGAATGCAGAGAACACTGCATCGTTAACGGATACGATATACCTGAAAAGACTAGAGTTATTGTGAATGCTTGGGCTATCGGAAGAAATCCCGAATATTGGAGAGAACCTGAGAAATTCAATCCAGAAAGATTTTTAGATAATTCGATTGATTACAAAGGTGCACATTTTGAATTTATCCCATTTGGTGCTGGAAGAAGAATGTGTCCTGGAATATCATTTGGCATGGCTAACGTTGAACTTCCACTTGCTCATTTATTATACCATTTTGATTGGAAACTTCCATCTGGCGTGAACCCTGAAAATCTGGATATGACAGAATCGTTAAGTGTTACTGTAAAAAGAAGCAATGCCCTCTATGTCATTCCCATCCCTTGCTGCCATTCCCGTGTTATGTAAAATCTTTATATTTGTGAAATTAGCTGTGAGTTCGCATTTTAAGCTTATGTATTATATGTCGTTCGAATAATAATTATTATTAAATTATATTGTCGTTTTGAACATGAGTTACTTTTTTTTTTTTTTTTTTTTTAAGAGAGAAATCAGTATTATAATTAAATTTAAACTAGATTGTCGTTTGAACGAGAGTCTTTTTTTTTTTTTTTTTTTTTTTTTTTTTTTTTTTTTAAATCCTTGTATGAGTTAATTTTATGTTTAGAATACACATGAGAAAGTAAAAATTCCAGTTACGTACATATCCAATACTGTAAATTTTAAATTAGAAAATAACTTAAGTATCAAATCAAAATATAATTAAAAATAAAAGGAATAGAAAATAGTAAGCAAACAGTTTCAGGTTTTAGTTGAACTAAAATAAAATATCTGCAATGCTGTCGTGTGCTAGCTGCGGTCGTTGATGTTGTGGATGTGATGATCCATGCTGTGTAACATATTGAGGGAGAGAGAGAGAGAGAAAAAAAAAAAAAAAGAGGAGAGAGAGAGAGAGAAAAAAAAAAAAAAGGAACGATGGAAATTATTTCTTTGTTTTTTTAATATTATTTTTTAGTGCAAGCATATTTTAATTGCTTTGAAACGTTTCAATCGATTCAACCTCTCAGTAGATAAATAAATAAATAAACTTTTTTTTTTTTTTTGAAAACTTTAATTACTTTTTACAATGGCATCAGTCTGTTTCTATTAGTCAGAAATATAAGACTTCAATTTGTATTGGGGTCAATTATCCAAAGCTTATGGAAATCATTTGATCGATTAATAAATTTGAAATTGTCCAATAGCATCTCTCGTATAGGCAAATGCTCTCAATAGTCGAAAGTTAGAGAGCACGACAACACAACTAAACTTTTAGACATTTGTTTTTTTTTCAGCAATAGCAACTTCAATTTCTCCTTAATGAAGTGATGATCTATTTTACATAAATTATTAATATTCCTTCATTCTCATAATTTTTATCCTATTTTCTTTTTTTTTATTCTAAATTGTTATGCTATATTTCTTTTTGAAAATGAATAATATTTAAATTTTACTATTTTACTCTTATTTAATATGCTTTTTGTCAATAAATATAATAATCAAATTACTATATATATGTTATCATTAATTAAATTTCGATTATAACCAAAACTAAAATACAAATCTTAAATCTTGAAATAAATTATATTTAACCAAATATTTGATTAATTTCAAGAACAATTTAATTATGGATCATTTAATTTTTATAGATACTAACATAAGAGTATACTCCTGTCTTTCCAAAAGATAATCCACTTTTTATTTTCAAATAGATTAAGAAATAACAATTATTATCTCTGTCTTAAAATATAAATCGTTTTTTGGTAGTTATTTTATCTCATAAATTAAGTTGTTTTAAGGAGCTTAAAGAGTAATAAATGATGGTTTTTCAATATTATCCTTATTTACATTAGATATAATAAATACTTTCACAAGTAATTATTGGTTTTGAGATAAAGGATAATGTCAAATTACCCTTGATTTTGTTATAATCTAAGAGAATTAATTACTTTTTTAATTTTTATGTAAAAATCTTAAACGATTTATATTTTGAAACAGAGGAAGTATTACGGTTAAAAGATAATTTTATTTATATAACTTTTCTATTATGTCCATCTTAAATAATACATGAGTAATTATTATAATAGAAAATAAAGTAAAAATTAATGAGATTGAAAATAAAAAAAATTTAATAAAGATATAGTAGATGATTTAAAGATTAATTATAGTGAAAAAAGTGAACTATATTTCGTAATAAATCAAAGAAGAAAGAAGGAATCGGAGTGAGTATTATTTTTATAGATACTAATGTAAGAGTATTGTTTTTTTAATCTATTCAAATTACAACACAAATTATGAAACTATTTTATGTGAAATCAACCCAACTCCCTTTGTGCTTAAAAAAAAAAAAAAAAACTTCTAGAATCATTAAAAAGTTAAAAGTCAACAACTTCTAGAATCTGACCACGTCTTTAAAAACTTATTATTATTACCCCATTGTTTTAGGATATTATATATTAATCACCCATTGTTTTATTAGTCTAAGAAGAGGATTGATAAGGAATAAAAAAAATGTATTACAGTAAGGTATTCAAATTTTCAGAAACCACAATCCTTTTTTAATTTCAATCATTCAAAATTCGTAAGGTATAATACTTTTCTTATAAAATATTAAAATGTCGTATTTATCCATATAATTTTAGACATTTACGTCTCAATCAGTTAATCTACAATGCCGTGTACCCAGTAGTTATTTATGATGTTCAAACTTGATGGGCCTTCTGGCAATTTGACCCAACCATCCTTCCCTGATCCTGAACCCAAACTTCGTCCCTGTCGAGGAGCCGGCAGCTAGGCCTAGCTACCCAAAATTGGAGTAATATGTAATAATAAATAGATATAAAGATAATATAAATAATCAAGATTTTTGACATTTGATGTGAACAAATTTTTTAGTTGCATTATTATATTATAAACTTTAAAGGGTTGAAGCCAGCAAAATATTCAAAATCTTACTCCAATCGCACACAGATATTATATTTTATATATACATTACGAATTTTTTTTTATTGTTTTTAAATATCTTAGTCTCAGACTGAAAGCTACTACCATACCTATTTAATTAGGAATTCATGAAAAGACCCAAAAAAAAGAAAGAGGTAAGACCAGCCATATAATTAAAGCATTGACCAAAGACTAACACTAACGATATAATACAATATAGACGCAGTCTTTCGCGACTGAAAAGACGGACCAGCAAATAAAATATTAGAAAATTAATAAAGGATTACCAAAGTTTACTGGGTACGGTTAAAATGAAGCCAGATTTAAGTATATATATATAAATATAGGAATTCATGAAAAGACCCAAAATCAAACGAATAGATACCCAGACCGGTTCACAGACAGCCCCACTATCACACCTTCACACCCAGGACTTGACCAAAGGCACTTTCCATTACACTAGCTACACCCGCTCACCAATACAATCAGACCGCCAGCTCCCTTTCTTCAAGATCTGCAAAATAAGACCGCCCCCCACCACAAATACAACATATCTCAGAACAATTAATAAACCATTAACAAACCAGCCCTTTAATGCGACCGCCTCCACACACATCAAGCCAACATCTTACAGCTCCAACTACATACCTCACTACTACTACTATCACTCCTAACCCTCACCCCTTACATCACTACTACCCCCTACCCACTACATCATACAACAAACACTCATCTCTACCACCGACAGTCACCTCAACTATACTCACACAACTCACCACCTATCACAATCCAATATTGCTACTCACACACGCGACAGAATATCCTTCTACCCACTCCCATACACTCATACCCACAACAAATTGAACAACCACATTATCAAACCAAATCATACAAACCCCCATCCGTATCATACCACATCTCCAACGCACCGCGGTCACTAGCATCCCACACCCAACATATTTACAGCCGCCTCTAAACAATACACTCCTCACCTCAACCTCGCTATATCCACCACACAATCAAACACCATGTAAAAAAATTGCATTCCTCGCTCTTTTTCTCTTGTTCTTCCATCCTTTGGACCCCAGGCTGCCCCGCCTGCCCCCCCCTGCACCGCGTCGTAACCCTCCCCCTCGCCTAAGCAACCCAAAGCTAAAATTCAATACCAATATCACCATCCTTCCACGCTCTCTTCGTCCTACACTCCTGCTCTCCTTAATCAGCATACCTCTGTCCTCCTGCAAGTAAATATTCTCACTCTTTTTTTTTTTTTTTTTTTTTCATTTTGGGGACCCAGGCGGCCAGGCCTGCGCCCGCCCCTGCACCGGGTGTAACTGTGTAAGCAAGAAAGTTAAATTAATAAGATATAATTAGTTTCGGTTCTTAAGATCCTGCCTGCCAGTTTAATCAGCATACTTTCCTTTCCTGAAGGAAAATTCTTCGACTTGGAATTTAATGTACATTAACAGCATACGTGTACACGAACCCCCATACTCGGTCAGCTCTCTGTATATATAGAGTGGACTAAAACTGCATTCTCATCATCAAACCTAACAAATCTTTTTATCACTCTCCTTTATCATCCTTTGCCATGGACAGCCATCTTTCCTTTCCACTTGTTTTCACTTTCTTGATCTTCATAATTTTCTTGTTTAAGTTATTATGGAGAAAACCCAAGTATCTAAATCTACCGCCAGGGCCATCGAAGCTACCTATAATCGGCGGCTTCCACCATTTATTTGGTCCGCCACCCCATCACTGTTTAACCAACTTGGCTAAGAAATATGGACCTATTTTCCAAATTCAACTCGGTGAGAATTCTAATATTGTAATTTCTTCTGCAGAAATTGCAAAAGAAATTATGAAAACCCATGATATAATTTTTGCTGATAGACCTTTTATCCCTTCTTCTTTTCAAGCAACTTATGATGGAACAGACATAGCTTTTGCTCAATATGGAGACTATTGGAGACAATTACGAAAGATTTGCACGACAGAGTTATTGAGTGTTAGTCGTGTGCAGTCGTTCAGATCAGTAAGAGAAGAAGAAGTATCAAAATTAATAAGCTCGATTGCTTCTAGCGCTGGATCTGCAATAAACCTAAGCCGAATGATTGAAACTTTAATGTTTAGTATTATTTCGAGAGCGGTTTTTGGTAAAGTATGTAAAGGAGAAGAAGTATTTGTGCCAACTATAAGGAAATTAACTGAAGCGACTACTGGTTTTAATCTTGTTGATTTATACCCTTCTAATAAATTGGTTCAAAGAATGAGTATTGGGTTGCCTATAATAAAAAGACTTCATTCAGAGGTAGACAAGATAATCCAAGACGTGGTTGATGAGCATAGAGCTAGAAAGCAAGCTGGAAAAATTGTTGCAGAGGGTGAAGAAGAAGATCTTGTCGACGTCCTTCTGAATCTTTTGGAGAAAGGAGACCTCGACTTCCCTTTGAGCACCGAGAACATCAAAGCCGTCATTTTGGTTAGCTCTCTTTCTTTTTTCTTTATAGGTTTTCCCACATACATATAATAGTTGTTGTTAAAACTAATTTTAGAGCAAAATCAGCCTTATCTTTTTGATTTACTCAAGTTAATTACGAAATGTATTTCAGGACATGTTTATTGCGGGTAGTGATACATCTTCTACACCAATAGAATGGGCAATGTCAGAAATGATGAAAAATCCAGAAGTGATGGAAAAGGCACAAGCAGAGGTGAGACGAGTCTTCGAAGCAAAAGGGAACGTCGATGAAGCAAGTCTCAATGAACTCAACTACTTAAAATTGGTTATAAAAGAAACTCTGAGACTACATCCTCCTGTTCCATTGTTAGTTCCAAGAGAATGCAAAGAACACTGCGTCATTAACGGATATGATGTACCTGAAAAGACTAGAATTATTGTGAATGCTTGGTCAATCGGAAGAAATCCCGAATATTGGACTGAACCTGAGAAATTTTTTCCAGAGAGATTTTTAGATAGTTCAATTGATTACAAAGGTGCTAACTTTGAATTTATCCCATTCGGTGCTGGCAGAAGAATGTGTCCTGGAATATCATTCGGCATGGCTAATGTCGAACTTCCACTTGCACACTTACTATATCATTTTGATTGGAAACTTCAATCTGGAATAAACCCAGAAAACCTTGATATGACAGAATCATTCAGCGTTACAGTCAAAAGAAGTAATGCTCTAAATGTAATTCCCATCCCTTACATTCCTTCCCGTGTAATGTAAAATCTTTATTTTTAAATGCTTTCCTTTTTATGAATAAATATTCCCATATATAAATATGATTGATTATTTTCTGTTATTTATTTATTTTAGATATAATACCTTCTAATTATCGACCCATACGTCTGAACCGCCAAATCGAAATCACTAACCTATGAAATAAGCACAAGAAGTTGAAGAAATTTTCAATCCAAAAGAAATTTTCCCTTTCATTTTTTTGAAAAAGACATATTTTATCAGCTGCCAATTCGAGCACAATCACAATTTAATGGCAATGGAGTACTAAACGGTTCATCTTCAAATAGCCAGCTCTCTTTTTTTTTTTTTTTTTTTTTTTTTTTTTTTTTTTTTTTTTTTTTTTTTTTTTTTTGAAGATAAGTACAATCCATATTTTTTGTCTTTTGTACTCAAATATCTAGAAAATAATGAAGCGGGTCCCATATATAGGTCGTAGCAAATTCCCTCTTCAGAAGACAAGTTGATGATTAGATGGAGAGATACCAAAAATAAATAAATAAACAAATGAATTAATAATAATAATAATAATAATAATACAGCACTAGCTAGCTGACGTGAGTAGTTCTTTTTTATTTAGTGGGAGGTTCAATGGATCTGTAAAAGAGAAAAAGTGAACTTAAAGACTCTTAGACTTATATTTTAAAGATTCAATGATTTTACTGCTATTAGTGATGCCAGTGGACATACCTTCAATTATGATAGCAATGCGTAACATGATTTAAATAACTATTTACTCACCTCTCCCCTAAACTTGTTATTCAAAGAGTAAAATACCATAAAACTGATCTTTTTGTTCAATTTTGTCCTTGATTTGTAATTTAAATCCAATTTACACAAAATAAAACTTTTGAATTATCTTAAATTTTGCGCAATTTACTTGAATTTAAGTAAATTTACGTTTTTTTTTTGGACAAATTTAGCGTGAATTACTGACTCAAAGTCTAGATTGAGCCAAAATAACTATTTTGTAGCTTTTTATTTCTAAATAATAATTTTATGTGGAAACCTGAGCTTTGTTATAAATAAAATAATATGATTTACAATATTAAAAAGGATGAATACATAATTTAATTTTTGAAATTTGATAAAAAGATATGGCACCTTAAACATTTAAATCAATGTTTTAGCATTATGAACTTCACTTTTTATAATAATATCACACTTGATACTGATCCAATAATTTTTAAAGTTTTAGTTTTTGTGTGTAAAATATTGATTTGATACATGGTTAATATAATTTTTAGAATAATAATTTACATTTTTCAACAATCTGATAAGTGTTCAATCGATTTAATTTTATAAATTGAAAAGTTTAATTTTTTATCAATAGAGTTAATTTTATTTTTATTTATATATATTGTCCAAAAAAAACTTAATATACCTAACCACCAACCTTAGTCGATAGTTAAAGTACTCCGAATTTTTATTTTCAAAACTTTTAAATTTTTATTAAATCAAAAATCTCGATTTTCGACTATATGGGCTATAAATACCAAACAATCTTAATTTGAGTCCAAAGTTTTGTGCTCCCGAATTTTCTTATTTTCATAAACATTTTAATTGTTTCTATTTCCTATAATCAAATAATCTCGATCGTTTCGGACTATTATGGCTATATATACCCAAACAATCTTAATTTTGATCCAAAGTTTTGCTTATTGCCCCCGAAGTCCCCAAAATCATCTGGCGACATCTTTCGGTTTTGAGAACAATTATAAGTTTCAGAATAATATGAAACTCCAGCGTAGGAATTTAACTCTATTGAATGAACGTATATAACAGCAGATTTAATTATCCTTAAAATTAAAAAATCTGTGACTTATTAAATTTATAGGTTATCTATTGATATTGAATGAAATTTTACGCGGAATGCTAACTAAAATAATCAACAATAAAAATCGAACGACCCGAAATCAATAAACTTGATTTTTTTGAGTCACCTATTAATATTTTTATTATTATTGAGTAAATGGAGGAAATGTTACGGAATCTAACTAAAATAATCAAAATAAATCGAACCGGACCCGAAATCAAATTGATTTTTTGATCACCACATGAATAACCTAAAAACCGAGTGAAAAACTTGCAAGCCGAGCAAAAAACGGGACAAGTCATTGAATTAAACCAAATCAGTTTGAATCAAACCGGAATGGCCTAGAGTTCTCTAGAACCATCTTTTTTTTTCTTTTCTTTTCTTTCCTTCTCCTCCTCCGCACGTTCTTCTCCGCCCCTTCTCCCCTCCTCCTTTCCTGCTCAGCCCACCTGAGCTAACCACACGAATAACCCAAAAACCAAGTGAAAAACCTGCAAACCGAGCAAAAAACAGGCCAAATCATTAAATTGAATCAAATCGGTTCGAATCGAACCGGAATGGCCCACAGAGTTCTCTAGAACCATCTTTTTCTTTTCTTTTCTTTTCTTTCCTTCTCCTCCTCCGTGCGTTCTTCTCCACCCCTTCTCCCCTCCTCCTTTCCTGCTCAGCCCACTTGAGCTCCTCGCTGTCGTTTCCTCTCCGCAGTAAGCTCCGACCTCACCGCAGTGTTAACCTCGCCTCTCTCTGTTCGTCTCTAATATTAGTGGCTATCGCAGGAGGAGTCGCGATCGGAATCGCGTCGAGCCTTCCTGTTCCGGGACTTTTCGGCGACGCCAGCTCCTCTAGCATCACGGAGAAACGCGGTCTCTCCTTCGTCTCCGGCGGCTGCTGCAGCGCGGGTGAGATGCGGTTCTCCTCCTTTGGATCGACGGCAATGGTGGCAGCGGCTGTCGATGCCCGTTCTGGCTAGACCAGCCACGGGCTCAACAAATGGACGACAAAATCAAGCTCCCTATGACATTTCAAGTCCAGGGGTGTGTGGATCGCAAAATTCTGGAGAAAAATGATTTTTCAGCGACCATGTACGGCGGCCAGAGGCGGCGGTCGGTGACCGGCCGGCGACATTCCAACGAGGCCCCAAGAGACAGAACGAACTCCTTTTCGCGCTGATCATGGAATCATCGCCCGATTCTCAATTGTTACGTTCTAAGACTAATTTCCCCATTTTTGTTATAAATTCTAAACTTAATAATTATTAGTTGATTAGATTGAATTTGAATGAATAATCAATCAAATATAATTTTGCTAAGAATCAGCCGGTATAATGTAGATGTAAATTGATTCTGAATATTGTTAAATATATTTCATGATAATTAGTTGATAGATTTGAATTTGAATGAATAATCAATTCAAATGATAATTTTTTGCTATAGAATCTATTCTCGGTGTATAATGTAAGATGTTAAATTGATTCTGATTTATTGTTAAAAATATATTTTTCTTTATGAACTATTAGTTTACAAACTTAGGTTTGGTATTGTTAATCATAAGAAATTTCCTAGCTTAGTATTTATGTAAGCTTAATTTTAGGAATTTTTTACTAGATATGGTTTAGGATAGGAGCTTATTAATTTAATGGCTTAGACAAGGTAAATAGTTATAGAGTAATTAATAATTATCATTGGTGAAACATGCTTGGAGGTTAATATTAAATTTGTTAATTAATTGAATTGGGAATTATTAAAGTGTATATATGTGTGCGTGTGATTGGATGAATATAGTAGCCTGAAGGATATATGTAGCCTGAAGCGGATGGGTTGATTGCATTAATTGCCCGATGAATGGGCTGTGTGAATAGAGTGAACGAATAATTGATGAATATGGTTATGGCGGATGGGATGAGTTGATGCGATTGCCCGTTGAATCGTTTTCTAGAATTTATTGTTGAATTGTGATTTAATCAGATTTTATGGGAGGTTCTGCTGAAATTTCAATAGAATCTAGGCTAATCATAATTAATAATTAAGTTAATAGGTTTATATAGATTAATTCTTTAACTTGATATGTTGTAAATAGAGTCCTTTATTTATTTTATTATTATTTATTTATTCATTTATTTATTTTCCAAGGATCAATTATTATAATATATTGTTAATTACTATTCTTTTATTTAATTGTAAATGAATATGAATGTCTAATTGTGCACTTACAAATTATTATAATATATTGTTAATTACTATTCTTTTATTTAATTGTAAATGAATATGAATGTCTAATTGTGCACTTACATCATGATATTTAATTGTCTGATATGCTTGTATTTAATTGTAATGCTTGATTATTTGTGTTGTGATAATGTTATGCTTTATTTGTGTGGAGTTGGGATGAAGTGGGTCACCATGGGTTTGTGAGGGCGGTCCACGAGACCGTTTGCTGTATGGGAGATCGACGTCCCGTATGCATCTGATGATATGATATGGATAATATGGATAAATCACAAGGTGGCCTCCTATTAGTATGGAAAAGAAAAGAGAGAATGGAAAAACAATGAGAGGGCTGGTCAATTGAGGATTAGATCGGTCGGCCATGTATGGGGATCGGCTCCCTGGTGCACACGTATGAGAGGGTGAGCCATGTGTGAGGACGGCTCGGCTCGTTAGGGTTTCGGTGAAGCGATAAGACACACATTTCCAACGTGTGTGATATATGTGAAGTCGTATTACCGTGTGGAGTGCTTTAGATCGGTCGGCCATGTATGGGGATCGGCTCCCTGGTGCACACGTATGAGAGGGTGAGCCATGTGTGAGGACGGCTCGTTAGGGTTTCGGTGACGCCATAGACCAATTTCCACGTGATGTGATTATGTGAAGTTGATAATACGTGTGAGTGCTGTTGTTATGCCATTTGTGTGACTGACTGCGTGAGCATATAACTAGTCGGATGATTAGATTGATATGCTTACACACAAATGTGAATGCGTGTGTTGTGCAATAATTATTACCCCTTAGAAGACTCACATGTCTTGTTTAATTTTTCAGGAAGTAAGTTTCTCCTTAATTCGATTTAGGCTATATTTCTTCACTGTAAGGCTATAAAGATATTTTCCTACTTCCATAATTAGAAATGTGATATATTGTAAATTGAGCTCGAACTGTGAAATGTGGAAGGTGATAAATTTGAGCCGAGGTATAATAAAATCTTGAGGTTTATTTTCTTAGTAATATGGGCTGAATGTTTGAAATTTCTATTGACATAGTAGATTTTAACGTTTCAGGCTTATTACGGGCCTCGGGGACCTTAAGTTTACCTGGGCCCTAGTGCTGGTCCGACCCATGAAAACGAGTTGTGACAATAGGCTTCTCTTACACCCAAACCTGGCCTAAATATATTAGATGAAAAAACTTGCTCAATTCCTCTTAAATGAAATAAGATACAATAGACCCATAAACGAGCCATGTAAACATTCCAAACAAAGTTTCATATAGTATTACACCAATATTAAACTAGAATAAACCAAACATAAAAGTGTTTACACCAATATTAAGTGATAATCTCGAGCATTAATTACATTATTGAAATGATCCTTGACCGATCGTTACTCTATAATAGTCCAAGTAACACTCGACTAAATCTTAATGATTATTCGTATCAATTATATATTTAAAAAATGATAATTTCACTAAACCTAAATTTTCAAAATTTAAGGGAGCAAAAATTAAAAAGTTTATCATTTTATGAATAAAATTGGAAATTTTTAATATTTTAAAGTATCAATATTTTTAATTTTTAATATTTGCTTGAGTTCAAATTCAAATATATATAAACAAACTTTTTTTTTTTCTATCAATTACAAACAAGCCAAGAATAAAAAGAAAACAAAAAAGACATAATATGATTGTTAAAAATCCCTTGTCCTCTAAATAATAAATCCATAATGGGCATATAAAGGGTGGCAAGTTAGCTAGCTAAATTGGTTAGTACTAATATTTTAGTATTGGTTACCCAAGCCCAAGTAAGCCCACATCGCCTTTCACCTCATGGGTTCATACCTCTTATCCAATTCACCTCTACTTTATAATAATGATAAGGAAAGATTTTAAATTAATTAAGAAAAAGACTGTGAAAAAAATATTTTAAATTAATTAAGGATAAAATTTTAGTAAGAAGGTGTAAAACCTTAAAGGTTCTACGAAACGCTTCTTAATTCTCTAAAAATTACTTTATATCTCACGTTACCGCACACAATAATCTCGAGAAGCAATGTTTTAATTAGTTCAAAACGCTAAAAGTTACTCTTCTAAATACTGTTGCCGAACAGATCCCTTAATCAATTAAGTATGGTTTGGTTGGTCTTTCCACCAATGTGGAGAGTAAGAAATTTTAAGTTGTAATCCTCTCGCGATAACAAGAATTTTTACCACTTTAGTAAATAAAAAAGAGAGTTATTATTTCCATTGTGCAGCCTGTAATGTTTTTTTAGCCGATTGGACTCCTTAGTGAATACAAAGGGAAAAAAAAAAAAAAAAAGACTTATGAGGTTAAGCTGTTCAAGAGTTTTCTGTTTTTTCCTTCTTTGCATCAAGACGCAAGATCGATGTGCTCCAAGTCCAAATCAACAGTCAATAACACCAGACTTTTGAATAGCGGTCTTCTCCATTTACATAATATTCCAAGTCAAATTAAAGACTTATATCTTGGAGGATTCATTAAAAATTTTAAAATTGCTTTAAAACTTATTAATTTGTCTTAATTTCAGTTAAAAAGGAATAATTGTTTGAATCACAATTCATTAATCACCATCTCCTAAATGGCGAAACCTATTTAGAACTCCAGTCTGATTAAAATAAGGCAAACAAGCAAGATTTGCAGATTTTTAAGAGAGGAAAATATAATTCTTACAATATTATTATGGATTAAAAAAGAAATTATTTACCAAACTGAAGTTAAGATTCCATATCAAAATTAAAAAAGAAATTGCATACTAAAATATAGTCTAGTGATAAGTGCATGATCTAACAATATACTCATGTACGAATCTCTCTCATCCAATACTAAAAAAAAAAAAAAAAAAAGAAATTTCTTGCATAAGTTATAATCTTGAATCGAGATTATTTCTGACCATAGACTTAAAAAAATGATAAAATTAAATAATTTTAAAAAATTCTTAATTTTATTGGTTTAATACATAAGTAGAATCATGAATCTGATCTAGACAAATATTTTCCTAAAATAAGAAGTTCCTAACATAAGATTTGCCTACACTAATGCACTACTAATCCAATCAGAGATATTCTTATTTGAATCTAAACATACGGTTGATTTGAGACATAGATAGACTGATATTTTTTTTCCCCTTCCTTTATATATAGAAGAGGAACTTGCACTAACAATTAAGCAAATAATAACATTATATCAAACTCTTCATCCACTCATGGAAGAGTTTCATTTCAACTCTTTACACTCTCTCTTTGCTTTATTTTTCTTCATCATCTTCTTCTTCAAGGCAATAAAAAAAAGAGCTACTAAGCCCTCAACCACAAATCTACCACCAGGGCCATGGAAATTGCCCATTATTGGAAATGTTCACCAACTTTTAGGTTCATTACCTCATCAATCCCTTCAAAAATTATCCGGAAAATATGGACCGTTGATGCATTTAAAACTCGGTGAAGTTTCCACTGTAATAGTTTCTTCGCCTGAAATTGCCAAACAAGTCCTGAAAACTCATGATTTAGATTTTGCAGAAAGACCTCCTAACCTTGCTCCTAAAATAATCTCTTATGATTCTACAAATATTGTTTTTTCTCCATACGGTGCTTATTGGAGACAGCTGCGGAAGATTTGTACAATGGAGCTTTTAAGTCCAAAGCGAGTTCAATCCTTTCGGTTTATTAGAGAAGACGAGGTTTTGAACCTAATAAAAACCATATCATCTCTTGAAGGGTCACTAATCAATATTAGTGAAATGATTTTTTCATTAACGTATGGGATTACATCGAGAGCTGCTTTTGGAAAAAAATATGAAGATCAAGAAACTTTTATACAAGTTATTACAGAAGTTTCAAAGATTGCAGCTGGTTTTAGTGTTGCAGATTTGTATCCTTCCATTAAATTTCTTGAACAGGCAAGTGGGCTTAGGCCTAAACTAGGAAAACTGCATGAAAAAGCAGATGGGATTCTCGAGAGGATAGTGAAAGAGCATAGGAACAAGATGAATAGAAGTGAGGAAATAGAAGAAGATGATGACTTGGTGGATGTTCTTCTCAAGCTTCAAGAACATGGTGATCTTGAATTTCCTCTTTCCGATGACAACATTAAGACAGTAATCTTGGTTAGTATGTATATAATTTAATTAATTATTTTCCTCTTTGATCTGTATTTATATCTTTTTTGGGTAATCTTATATAATGTTTTTTTAGCCAAATTATAAAAAAATTTCTCAACTTTTAAGACTTTTTATAATTTTGACTAATTATTTTAATGTTATTTAGTAATATGTTGTATCTTTTTTTTTTTAATAACAGTTGTGACTTCTGCATGATTGTAATCTAAATTCAACCAGCTAAATTATGTTTTTTCAGAGCTGTTAGTGAATTTTCTAATTGGTGCTAATGTGACATGTGTGAGGTTCATACTGTCAGTTTTATCAGTGTATGAGATGAATTTGGATGGTAATTATAAAAGTTCTCAATTGGTATAAAAAATAAATTACAAGATATTGATTGATAAAATTAAAAAAAAAATTTGTTGAAATTATAAAAAGCATTAAAAGTTGAGTTTTTTTTTTTTTTTTTTTTTTTTTTTTTTTAAATTACAAGATATTGATTGATAAAATTAAAAAAAAATTTGTGTGAATATTATAAAACATTAAAAAGTTGAGTTTTTTTTTTTTTTTTTTTTTTTTTTTTTTTTTTAGTTATTTAAACCATTTTTTTCAAAGAAAAGTTTGTCGTTTTTTCGTCTTTGTTGAACGACAATAAACATAACATCCACAATTTTCAGGACATGTTTAGCGCTGGAAGTGAGACATCATCAACAACAGTGGAGTGGGCAATGTCTGAAATGCTGAAAAATCCAAGAATATTAGAAAAGGCACAAAATGAGGTAAGACAAGTATACAAGAACAAAGGGACTGTAGATGAAACAAGCATTCATGAGTTGAAGTATCTAAACTCTATAATCAAGGAGACCCTGAGGCTACATCCTCCCCTGCCCCTAATACCAAGAGAGAGTAGAGCAAGAGTTGAGATTATTGGATACGATATACCTATCAAGACGAAAGTTCTTGTAAATGCGTGGGCAATTGGACGAGATCCCAAGAATTGGACAGAACCTGAAAATTTCTGCCCAGAAAGGTTTCTTGATAATGCGATCAGTTATAAAGGGACAGACTTCGAGTTTATTCCTTTTGGTTCTGGAAGAAGGATATGTCCAGGCATTTCATTTGCTCTACCAAACATTGAGTTGCCACTTGCACAATTGCTCTACCATTTTGATTGGAAACTTGGAAATGGAATGAAGAATGAAGACTTGGACATGACTGAAGGGTATGGCTTAACAATCAGAAGAAAACAAGATCTCTTCTTAGTTCCTATAAAACAAGATCTCTTCTTAGTTCCTATGTATCCTGTAAATAGTGAAATAAACCGGTCTAGCAATTAATTATAGGCAGCAATTGCAATTTCAAAGCCTATCAAGGGAGACCTTTAGTTCCAGAGCATCACTCTTTTTCACTAGATTAGAGGATCATTTATTCTAGCAATTAAGTATTTGATCGGCATATTTGAAATAGGGTTGTGATGTTTTTCTTTTCTTTTTTTTTTTTTTTATTCAGTGAAAAATAAATCAATATATCTTGAGATCCTTCATAGAAAAAAAAAAAAAAGGAACACTCTTGAAAATATACATTTATTTACAAAATAATAATAATCATAAAATAATCTTGCGAAAGATCTTGTATATTTGATATGTGTACCACACTCATGAACTGGGCTGATCTCAACCATTCGTATTGATGGTGTTGATAAGATCCTCCACGATCAATTAATTGAAGTATCACTATATATAGCACTACACATCAAGAAAATGGAAACACAGCTTTTGTGGTTCTGCCCAGAAGGGAGAAAAAACAAAAAAAACTAGCAAACGAGTATACTTATGAGCTGGCATGACCTCCCAGAAAGTTTATTTGTTTCCATCCATCCTTTTTTTTTTTTTTTTTTAAAAATAACCTACCGGTTCAATATCTGAAAGTTATTATTATAAACCAATTAAATCTAGCTCAGGATTAGTCACAATTAAAGCTTTTCATCCCTCTCTATATGTGTGTTTAGTAGGGATCAAATTTGAAAATTCTTCCCGCATACTCGGTTTGCATTGTGTTTATCTATCTTTCATATCTCTCTGTATAATGAAAAATAATTTGTTTTGAAAGAATCATAATGATTGGATTTTGAAAATTTTGTGGATATTTCTTAATACTCTCATTATTCTTGAAAGAAAAAGTATATGAGAATATATTTTAGGATTACAAATTTGTGATTTCTTAAGACAATCTCGTGGTAAGAAGAAGTGACAGTAAACAATATTTAAAATAACTGGAGAACTCTATTTTTATTGATTTACTTCAGCGATATATATAATAAAGATGACAACTAACAGTAGCTAGAAAATAGGAATAATAACAAACCACTAATCACACTACTAACAGCCCTTGAAACTAGGACAACTATCCAGGAATAATTCAAACTATAATAAAATCAATAAAATCAGAATTAATTAAATAACAGTTACAGTCAACATCCCCTTTAATTCTGATTTGGAATGATCTTCATGTCAAGCAGGTTCCTTAACTTGATGAACGCATCGATCTTCAACGGTTTAGTAAGTATATCCGCAATCTGATCTTCTGACTTGCAATATTCCAATTTGATCATGTTCTTTCCAACTTGGTCTCAGGAAGTGATATCAAATATCAATATGTTTACTTCTCCCATGAAAGACGGGATTCCTTGCCAAATTAATTACAGAAACATTGTCAACATAAATCTTAATTGGACCTCCAAGGTTAATACCAATTTGACTCATTATATTACTGAGCCAAAATTACTGAGCCAAAATGATTGACAAGCACTTGCTGCTGCTGCTATATACTCAGCTTCACACGTGGATAACGCAACAATTGACTGTTTCTTTGATGACCATGAGCAAACTGTTTTTCCGAGCATAAAACAATGACCACTGGTGCTCTTTCTCTCATCTGAATCTCCACCCCAATCACTGTCCGAGTATCCAACGATCTCAATTTCCTTGGATGTAGAGTAAAATAGACCAAAATCTGCAGTACCTTTAATGTAGCGCATAATCCTTTTTACTGCTTGTAAGTGAATCTGTCGAGGTGACTCCATGTATCGACTAACCAATCCTACAGCATAACAGATATTGGGTCTAGTACATGTGAGATATCTTAGACTTCCAACAATCTGCTTAAAGTGTGTTGGATCTACTGTCCGCTCATCGTCATCCTTGGTAGCTTAAGTCCAATTTCAACCGGAGTCTTAACTGGATTTGAATCTTCCATCTTAAACTTCTTCAAAAATTCAGCAGCATATTTCTTTTGATGAATCAAGATTCCATCGTCTCTCTGAATGACTTCAATGCCTACAAAATAAGACATAAGACCGAGATCGGTCATCTCAAATTCCTTCATCATAATTTGCTTGAAGCCACTAATCATCTTGAGATTATTTCCTGTAAAAATCACATCATCAACATAGAGACATAAAATTAGCAAATCTCCATAATCATTAGTCCATAAAATTAGCAAATCTCCATAATCATTAGTCTGCACATATAGACCATGATCTGAAGGACATTTTTTAAATTCAGCATCTTGAAGGAATGAATCAATTCTTTTGTTCCAAGCTCTCGGTGCCTGCTTAAGGCCGTATAAAGCCTTATTAAGTTTGTACCCCTTCTCCTCTTCCCCAGATTGTATAAAACCTGGTGGCTGTTTTACGTAAACCTCTTCATCAAGTGGACCGTTAAGAAAGGCAGACTTGACGTCCATTTGGTGAATTTTCCATCGCTTTTGTGCAGCCAAAGCAATAATCAGTCTCACAGTTTCCATTCTATAGGAGAAAAAATTTCATCGTTAATCATAGCCTTCTCTTTGCTCAATCCCTTCGCTACCACCCGCTTTGTATTTTGTATTTGTCAATTTCACCGTTAGCTTTCACCTTGATCTTATACACCCACTTCACATCAATTGCTTTGTGCCCTCTTGGAAGGTCAGTAAGTTGCCATGTGTTGTTTTTGTCAATTGCCATCATTTCTTCATTCATAGCCTCTTGCCATTTAGGATTTTGAATGGCATCTGCAAATCTCACGGGTTCCGAATCTGCAAGAAAAGCAAAGTGGACTAGTTGTCCATCATCATCAACCTCATTATCGAGATTAACCTCGTAATCTTGAAGATGTGCAGGTTGTCGATGCTCCCTTCTTGGGCGTTCCATAGAAGTTGAAATGGGGGCAGCAACTTCGGGTTGAATTGCAGGTGTTTCAAGAGTGACTCTATCTTCTGGATCTGCATCATCATTCAAGATATAAATATTGCGTTTTTTAGGATCCATGTCACCTGTTGTATTCCATTGCCATTCCTCATCTTCAGCAAATGTAACATCACGGCTTACGATCACCTTCTTTGTCATTGGATTGTACAATTTGTACCCCCCTTGCTTATATCCAATGAAAATGGTTTTTACTCTCTATCATCCAGCTTGGATCTTGTTGCTTTAGGTACATGAGCATAAGCAATTGAACCAAATACCTTCAAGTGTTGTACATTGGGTTTGAATCCACTCCATGCCTCAATAGGTGTTGTGTTAGGAACACTCCTAGTAGGTGACCTGTTCATCAAATACACTGCACATGATACAGCTTCAGCCCAAAAATTATTAGGCATTCCTTTAGCTTTAAGCATGCTCCTTGCCATATCCATGATTGTCCTGTTCTTTCTCTCGACGACTCCGTTGTGTTGAGGAGTGTAAGGAACGACGACTCCGTTGTGTTGAGGAGTGTAAGGAAAAGTAATATTATGTTGCAGCCCGAGTTCTTCACAATGGCTCTTAAAATCATTAGACTTGTACTCACCTCCTCTATCACTACGCATCATCTTGATTAATTTGCCACTTTGTCTTTCAACAAATGCTTTAAATAATTTAAAGTAGTGGAATACTTCATCCTTGCTCCGCAACAAATAAACCCATGTTTTCTTTGAAAAATCATCAATAAATGTTAAAAAATATTTGTTACCTCCAATTGATGATATATTCATCGGGCCACAAACATTCGTATGAACGAGCTCCAACGGAAATTTCGTATGCCAAGGCTCTTTAACAAAAGGCATCCTGTGATTCTTTCCAAAAATACAAGCCTCACACACTTGATCAGGGTGATGAATAAGTGGTAAACCATTCACTAAATTATGTCTGGAAAGTTTTTCCAAGCTTTGAAAATTTAAGTGCCCAAAGCGTAAGTGCCATAACCATGATTCATCATTCACAATTGCATTTAAGCACTTAAAATCACCCATGTTAAAATCTACTGGAAACATACGATTTTTTGATAAAAAGGTTTTAATAATTAATTTACCTTCTTTATCAAAAATTGAGAGTTGATTTCCATAGATGTGCATCACATAACCCTTTTCGGCTAACTGTCCCATACTCAACAAATTAGTTTTCATATCAGGTACATAAAAAACATTTGAGATGTACCTGTGATCACCATTTTTCAATGTGATAAGAATTTTCCCTTTTCCAGTCACCAGAACGAACCTTCCGTCACCGAATTTCACCCTTGTGTGAAACGATTCATCCAAATCTGCGAACAGCTCTTTATAACCACACATGTGATTTGTGCAGCCTGTATCCAAATACCAAGTCTGGTAGTTTGGAGTTTCATTTGATGTGGCTACCATTAATAATGCATGATCCCCTTCATCTTGATCATGATTACGATCTTCCTGAGCACAATTGGCAGCTTGATTGTCACCTTTTGATCTGCACTCATTTGCATAATGGCCGAACTTGTGGCAGTTATAACATTCCACATTTGATTTATTATTCATGCCTCTACGTCCTCCGCGGCCACGTCCTCTTTGTTGCCAAGAGGAATATGAACTGGAATTGTGATTGTTACCAGTGTTGTTTTGCTCAGCACTTCCATTGTTTTGCTCAGCACTTCCATGGTTCTGGCCACCACGACCTTTGTTGGAATAGCTACCACCACGTCCGCGTCCTCTACCTCGTGAACTGCCGTGCTTATGAGAGGAGCTACCAATTGTGCTTGTAAAGCCTGTTCAATTGGTTTTTCAATCTTATTGTCATTCATCCGTTGTTCATGCGCTCGTAGGGAACCGGACAATAACCTTACTGTCATTGTTGATAGGTCATTGGCTTCTTCAATTGCAGCAACTACATGCTCAAATCTGGGAGTTAAAGACCTCAAAATCTTCTCAACCTTTGACTGCTCTGAATGTGTTTCACCGTTGGTCTTCATTTGATTGGTCAGAACTTTACTAATGTAGTCGTCGACAGTTTCCGTGCCTCCATTGTGGCCTCCATTTGCAACAACTCATATTGGCGCCTTAGAGTTTGAAG